CTATGGCCAGGACTAACGCAGAAGTGAGAGTTCAAGTTTCAGGGCAGCTCTTCTAGTCAACTGGTCTGCCATCACCTCCAGCTGTGTCGAAATCTGTCATTTTAGTAAGTACTACCTTATCTGTCTCCTATATAAGGTTTGCTGGTCTGGCATGCACAGTTTTGAGCAAAGGTAACAAACAAGCAACCAAAACCAACAGATCAAAAATGTTCTCATGGAAGTCTTGGGTAACCAAAGTGTTTCTATCAGAATTTCTCAGCTGTTGTGTAATTCTATCTAGTAAGTGGCCAGGAGTATGTACACACAAAAAGCTGTAAACATAGCAACTAAGTTTTTCATTTTAAGTCTTCTGGTACCATGTAATTTTTTAAAAACTATGTGCATGTGTTAACTTGGTAAAATGTCTTGGAAAAAAATTTAATTGGGTCCAAGGAGCAGCTGAGTTTTGCTCAGTGGCAGACTGGAATCCATCTTCTGCATCATCTGAAAAGTATGCATACTATGTCTAGGGAAATTTCAGGGAACATATACATGAAAATCCAAGGAAATAATCCTGGGGTAGCCTCTCTCCATGAAATGGTCAAGAGAAGCTGCAAAAATCCTGTATAGAAGTTTAGGGTAGGGTCTTGTTAGGGCTGGGGAGAACAGTAGGGGCTTAACCTTGCTTTGAAGCTATATATGCTAAGCCAATGCTATTACTTGGATTACTTGGTGGGAGAGACACTTACGGAGATGTAAGGAGGCTAAATCCTCTGTACTGCTGTTTATATGGATGTAGAGCTTGCATTTCAGATAAGACCTTAAATACTTTCAAGCCCAACTGACCAGCATGGTCCTTTCTTTCTTAGAAGAGTTTTCTGTGGCTCAGTACAAACATCTGGACTCATATCTCAGCTCTTTCACCTACAAAGAATATTGGAAACCTGGGAAATAGATGTTGTCAAGTGCTAAGATAATTGAAAAAAAAATTTTGTTGAGGAGAAGGCAATCTTATTATCTCTGATCAGGAGGATGCTGATATTTTCTTTTTGGTAGAACAGAATGGTTAGGCTTATTTTAAGCTCCAAATGACTGGTCCATTTTCTTTTCAATGTATAGTTGAAGGATTCTAAATGTGGTGGAGGAAATAGTTTAAAAATTTCATCTTAACTGCACAATAATGGAAACAGTTCAAATGACATCAATAGGGGACTGGCTTAAGAAATTATGGTGCAGTTGTTCACTGGAATGCCATGCAGCTAAAGAAAACATAAAACAAAAACAAAACAAAATGAGAAAGATCCTCATGTACTGACATGGATGGACCTTCAAGAATTTGTTGTAAGAAAAGTTTTTTTAATGGGAAGAATAGTGTGTGTTCTAGGCTACCTGTTGTGTCAAAGTGGTGGAGAAGTAAGAATCTATAGTCATTTGCTTAAATACATGGAAAGAAATCCTGAAAAAAGACATAGAAGTCATCATAGTTCCTGGAGGGAGTGGGTTGGGATGAAACTGGGCAGCTGTGAGATGGGGGTAGGAGGGGGCAGGTTTTTTTTTTTTTTTTTTTTTTTTTTTTTTTTTAGAGAGGGTGGAGAGGCAGATAGAGAGGGAGAGAGAGAATCTTAAGCAGTCTCCATGCCCAGCACGGAGCCCAACACGGGGCTGGACCTCACAACCCTGAAATCATGACTTGAGCCAAAATCAAGAGTCAGGCTCTTAACAGACTGAGCCACCCCAGGCGGGGCGGGGGGGGGGCAGTTTTTCACTGTAATTTTTATGGTTTTGGAACCATTTGAAGACATTCTCTAAAAAATTAAAAATAAAGAGAAAAGTTACAACACTAAAAACATAGTTTTAAGTACTACTTAACAAGAATGTTCTGCAATGATAGAAATGTTCTGTGTCTGCAGTTACCTATATGCAGTAGCTACTAGCCACATGTGGCTGTTAAGTCCTTTAAATGCAGCTAGTGTGACTAAGAACTTATTTTTAAATAGTATTTGAATTCATTTAAATTTAAATAGCCATATGTGAAGAGTGCAGGTAGTCATATCAATCTGGTTAAGTAACAGAGGCACTTCTCAGGTCTACTCTAACTCTGAGCTATTGCAATAAGCCATATACAAAGTTCTCCCTTCTGAAAACATCATTTATTCATTCAACAAACAAGCACATACCGTGGGCCAAACACTATGTTATTTCCCAGGGATAGTACCATGAACATAACAGACAAAACACCCACCCTCACAAAGCCTACATTCTAGCACCAGAGATCAGCAAACTATAGCCCATGAGTTAAATCCAGCCCTCTATCTGTTTTTATACAGGCTGCAAACCAAGAATGGTTTTTATTTTATATTTTCGAATATTTGAAAAAAGTCAAAAGAGGAGTACTAATTCATGACATATGAAAATTACATGAGGGGCACCTGGGTGGCATAGTCATTTGAGCATCCAACTCTCGGTTTCAGCTCAGATCATGATCTCAAGGTCATGAGATTGAGCCCTGTGTCATGCTTCACCCTCAGTGTGGAGTATGCTTGAGATTCCCTCTCCTCTTCTTTCTCTGGCCCTCCCCCTGTGTGCTCTCTCTCTCAAATAAATAAATCTTAAAAAAAAAAAAAAAAAGGAAAATTACATGAAATTCAAGTTTCAGTATCCATAAATAGGTTTTGTTTGGAACACAGCCATGCCCATTTAGTCATGTATTGTCTGTCAATGGCTGCTATCTCAACCAGAGTTGAGGTAAGCAGTTGCCACAGAGACCATATGGTCCACAAAGCCATATTTATTATCTGGACCTTTACAGAAAAAGTTTGCTGACCTCTATTCCAGTGGGTGGGTAGTAATATGCAAGACACCATGATAAGCACTTTGCCTGCATTATCTCATTTAATCTTTGGGGCAACTCTCTGATAGAGGTTCTATTAGTCACTACGTTGGTAAAATGGGAAACGAGGGTCTGAGAATGTGCATTTCTAACCAGCTTCCAGGTGATGCTGATCTGCTGTCTCACAGATCCCCACCTCTGGATCAGTGATTCTCAACCTTGATTACACATTAGCATCCTCTGAGGAAATTTTAAAAAATATGATGCCCTGGCCCCACCCCCAGAGATTCTGATTTAATTGGTCTAAGCCCCAGGCATTGGTATTTTTAAAAAAGCTTTCCTGGTGATCCAAATATACAGCCAGGGTTGAGAATCACTGCTCTACTGAATCCTATTGAACTTTAGTAAAGAGAACATTGAAGTGGGAATCCAAAGACATGAGTTCTAGTTCTTACTCTGACATGACCTATTGAAGCGAGCTGCTTCCCCTCTCTGGGGCTCCATTTTTTTTTTGCAGGTGAAAAATGAGGAGCTCAAACCAGATGATCTCAAAGAGCTCAAGCTCAGTGACTTGTCAGGTCTTCACATAAAAAGGTGGGAGGGTCAGAAGAAGTACCCAGATCTCCCAGTGCATTGGGTGAAGCAACATGATGTCCAAACACCAGGCCAATTTAGGATAAAACTTATGGGTGACATCCATTATTTGGCAGTGCATCAATATAGAAACTCTTCTACATAGCCACGCTGCCTTACATACCACACAGTTAGAGTTGCAGTTAAAAATGATTTAATGATAGGGCGCCTGGGTGGCTCAGTTGGTTAAGTGGCCCACTCTTGATTTCGGCTTAGGTCATGATATCAGGGTTGTGAGATCCAGCCCCGCATTAGGCTGCATGTGTGGAGCTTGCTTAAGATTCTCTCTCTCCCTTTCCTTCTGTCCCTCCCCCATCCCCCTATAAAAAAAATGATTTAATGATTGTGAGAGTAGTATTTCATTGTAGGAAATTTGGAAATTACAGAAAGTATGAAGAAGAGAACCCTATAATCTCTAGAACCATGTTTTTAACAACCTTGTTTATGAGGCCTCAGCCAAGTAAATGACATCATGATCAAATGATTTCCCACAGAAGCAGGGAGGGCTAGGTGGCCTGGAGGGTCCTCCCCCACAAAAATCGCAAAGGTGAAAGCCCTATTATGACATCTCTGGTAAATGCAGCTCCAAGTCTGGACTAGAAGGTTGTGTGGGCTCCTATTGGGAGCATGGGAATTACAGCCTATAAATGAAATGATTTTCGACAGTTCTTTCATGCCTAATTGGTACTAGGTTACTCTATTACTTCACTTATGGATTACCCACTGTGGAAATTTCTCCTTAACATGTCTGTACAACTTTTGAAATGCAGATGAAAGATATTAGATATCTTTGCTTTCACTGAGAGTAACTGGGTGACCCAGACCATTACTTCTTTAGAAATGCAAATGGGAAACAATAGCATGTAGTACATAGTCAGGAAAATGGGCTGGGACCAGAGAGTTCTAGGTTCAAATCCAACCGATGCCTTTGTTGTGTACTGAATGTTTAGTGTCCCTCCAAATTCATATGTTGAAACCCTAACCCCCAAAATGTGATGGTATTTGGAGGTGGGGTGTTTGGTAGGTAATTAGGTTTAGATGAGGTCATAAAGGTGAGACCCCAATGATGGGATTAGTATCCTAATAGAAGAGGAAGAGAAACCAGGGCTCTCACTCTCTCTACCACGTGAGGATATAAAGAGAACGTGGTCATCTGCAAGTCAGTAACAGAGCCCATACCGGGGGGACTGAATTGGCTAGCACTTGATCTTGGACTTCCCAGCCTCTGGAACTGTGAGAAATAAAGGTCTGTTGTTTAAGCCATCCTGTTTAGAGTATTTTGTTATGGTCGCCAGAGTTCACTAAGACAGCCTCTTATTAGTCATTTTTTCTATCTGTAAACAGATGATAATATCCACTTCATGGAGTTACTCTGAAGATTTAGTGATAATTTGTATGTAAGTAAAGCACTGAGTACAGTGTTCAAAACATATTGAGTGCTCAGAGAATGGCACTTGTATGATGATTATAAATAATAATAATAATAAAACTTAGCTACTTTGGGGTATGGCTACCTTTAGGACAGAGACACATGCATGTCCTTTTGCTTGTCTTTTAGATGGATTGGTTTCTGTGGAAATCCTGAGGGTTAACACATCCAGCAAAACTGATGCTAGCTCTTTTCACCATGGAGACATTACTTCGTGCCAAGTGTTTTCAGCACCTAGCAATCCCTGGTTCTGTGAGAGTACTGTATAAAGATTATAGAACAGTGCTCCCTCAGAATTTTTCCAACTATGAATCCGTGAAACAGGAATTCAAACTGGAGATTCCAGAGTATTTCAACTTTGCTAAAGATGTCCTGGACCAATGGACGAATATGGAAAAGGTATGGAGCAAGGGCCAGTCCAACTACAGTTTCTCAGATGGAAGTGATTTTGCCCCCAGGGCAAATGTCTGGGAACAATTTTGGCCAGGGATGCTGCTATGTATCCTCTAATATACAAGACAGTCCCCCATAGCAAAGAATTATCTGGCTCAACATGTTAATGGTTCCATAGTTGAGAAAGCCTGGGTTATAAAAATGTATGATTATAGGTTAACTTCTTAAAAAAAAACCACAAAAAGTAGTAGTATGAAGGTCAGAAATGGTCAGAAATGGTAGGGAATGAGGCATAGATATAGCATTGAGAGAACATAAAGGGATGCAAGAATTCTAACTTTTGGGAAAGAAAAATAATCAGGCTAAATGAGAAATGACATGGCTCCCAACAGCTAGAAATTAAAGATCCCAGAGTTATTTCCAAATATCCCATGTGTGTCCTAACTAACCAAATATCCCATGTGTGTGACCTGTGAATTTTCTTCTGAAAACATATTCCACTGGGTCAGTTAAAATAGAATTAAGCTGTGTAATGACCTTTAAATCATCTGGTTTGTCTTTCTTCAGGCTGGAAAGAGACCTTCCAATCCAGCCTTCTGGTGGATAAATGGAAATGGAGAAGAAGTGAGATGGAGTTTTGAGGAACTGGGATCTTTGTCTAGGAAATTTGCCAATATACTTACAGAAGTCTGTTCCCTGCAAAGAGGAGATCGAGTAATTGTGATTCTGCCCAAGATCCCAGAATGGTGGCTTGCAAATGTAGCCTGTTTGCGAACAGGTTAGTAGTGTTTGCAATCTGATTACATTTAAAGTAGGCTGGATGGGAGATCTTCCAAAACATCTAAGTAATCATGAGACATTTATTTGGGTAAATTATTTGAGGAACTGTAGACAATATAGTATTATTCTCAGGACCTTAGAAATGTGTTGGAAACACACCATATCTTTTGACCTAAACTATGAGTTGGGTTTTTCATAATGAAATAAGTTTATTAACCAAATGCCAATCAATAATTGAATACCCTCATACCTACCACTCTTCTCTTCCTATAGACCCATGGTCATCTGAAACTCAATTCAGCCACAAACTCAAAGTTCTTGTTTCATGCCTTTATTTCTCTCATGGTTTTTATTGCCATTCATCTGGTGCCCAAAGCAAGCAGCTGCTACTCCTCCTTCCAAATCAGTCCCTACATCTTGTAAATTTGACTTCCTACATGTCCCCAGAGTCCCTCTTCTTCTCCAATCCCATTGCCATTGCCTTACTTCACGTTTACCACCTCCTGAATGGATTTGCCCAAAAGTCTTCCTAATTCTGATCTTGTGTGTGCCCACACCTTACTCCAATCCAATTCATCCTCCATAGCTAGTGTTCTTTCTAGAACATTTTATCCTGTCAATATGTTGCTTGACATTATTTAATAACTCTCCATTGCCTACCAGGTAAAATCTGAACTCTTTAGATGAGCCCCCCAGGCGCCCTTGAGTAAACATTCTTAATTCATAATTACTTGCATTTGAGAGTTACATGTTCTCATATCATATGTACCTATAAATTGTACACTGGAGTAGCAGAGCCCACTTTTACAGAGTTTTTTTTAAACAAAATAATAGCTTTCATGAATGCTGCTTAAGCTCACTGTCTTATAAAGGGGCAACAGGGGCGCCTGGGTGGCTCAGATGGTTAAGCATCTGCCTTCGGCTCGGGTCATGATCCCAGGGTCCTGGGATCGAGCCCCATGTCCGGCTCCTGGCTCAGCGGGGAGCCTGGTTCTCCCTCTGCCTCTCCCCCTGCTTGTGCTCTCTCTCTCTCTCTGTATCTCTGTGTCTCGAATGAATAAATAAAATCTTAAAAACAAGAAAAAGTAAAGGGGCAACATGTTGGACTGCCAGGACCAGAAATCCATTCATATTAGTTCAATAAGGAAGGAGAATTATTGAATATCTACTGGACATTCTACAGGAATCTACAGGGGAAAAAAGGTGCAGACAGAGATAGTGGCTTCTTTCTCTATTTCTTTTGCTCTGAAGCCATAGGGCCTCTTGTCTCTGTCTCCCTCAAGCATCTGTTCATTTGACTTCTATTTTCTGCTAACACATGATTTCTTTGCTCTCCTTCATTTTGGCTGACATGTGGCTTGGTTTGCTACACAGATGCCTTGGGTCCTAACTGTATGTCCCAATCCACTCAGTCTCTTAAGTCAAATACTTGAGGCAGAATCTAACTGGCATGGCTTGGGTTGGGCCAGTCAGACGTGGTCAGAGGCAGGTTCATCTGATACAAACATGGTCACTGGGGCCGCTGAAATGAAGGCAGATTCTCTTAGAAGGGAGAATGAGCAGGAGAGAGTAAATGGTAAATCTAATATACTAACAGTGCTGAAAATAAGCATTATCTACCACCTAGAGGGTGGGTGGATGGGCTAGGCTTTCAAATCCTGTTGCCAAATTAAATTATGAAAGTTATTTCTTTTGTCCACCAAACAAACTTCTGGAAAAACTTTGTTTTTTCATGTAGATCTGTTAATAGGGAGAGAAGGGGCTACTAGCGCCAGTCTTTTGACCCTTCATGCAAATGTATATATTGGTAATATCATTTTGTTCACCCTGTATCATCAACACGGTAGTGAGAGGCCTCCCCCAAGATTTACACTTGATATTAGCCAACAGGCTGAGAAGCCATGTCCTCCCACAAGTTTTTAAAGTAACATTTTGCTCCCTGGCAAGAAACTATGTAATGCTTCCCTAAATGATTAATTTGGACAGGAAGTAGTTTTAATAGGTAAGACTGATCACTATTAATAGGTTCTTTTAAAGATAGGATATGAATAATATATTAGCAGAAATTCATTATCGAAGGGTGATGTATTTAAATAAAGTGCTTCTACTAGGTATGAAATGCTGGCAGTGGGCTTGTTCTTAGAGAGTGCCTTTAAATTATAGAAAACTGTTAGGCCATGGTAGGCTAATTACTTATCCCCAGATGGAACATCTCTAAGGAATAACCTTGGAGTTAAAGACTCATAAATATTGCTGCATTGCCTGATTAGAAAAGAAAGATTTTATGAAGAACTCTGTGTTTGGGTCCTGGTTGTCTGTTTCCTGAAGAACTCCACTGGAGGGGGTTATCCTTCCCCCAGTGGAAAGACAAGCCAGTGTCAAGGGTCCAGGAAGGACCAGGTATGTGTTCTTAATCTTCCTTTCCTGCTGTGACACTGGGAAGAGCAAACACCATTGTGAAGTACATACCTTCTACCCCACTCTTTAGGGTCTGGACTTAAGAGTAGTAGAGCCCGAGATATAGATATGGATACATGTAACTATAGATACAGATATATATTCTTGAAAGTCCATTAATCCTTTGAGAAAATAATATCTAAAATTTATTCAGCACTCTTCACACATTTTAACTCACTTACTCCTCGTTAATCCTATAGAATCCCCATTATACAGATGCAGAACCTGAGACTCATGGAGATGAAGTGGCTTGTCCAAGGCCAAGCTATAAGACTGTTTGGCTCCAGGACAGACTCTTACCCATTATACTACAATGTAATTTACAGCAGGGAGAAGTAGAAGCACAGAAAAGATGAATGCCTTAATCCTTCCCTTTGGAAAGAAATCATAAAACATTTATGTAGGTTTTAAAAGGTGCTGGACTGAAGTAGTTAAGTGTACAGCTCTGGGGTCAGGCTACAGAGTTCAGTTACTGCACTGCCACTTTCTACTCCAGTGATCTTTGGCAAATCATTCATAGATTTTATGTTTTGGGTTTTTTTGGTAGGGATTAAATAAGTTAAGATGTGTAAAACACTTAGAATGGCATCTGGCATTTAGCCAATAAATATTGGATAATATTACTCTTCAATCAAAACTCTCTTTATAAAATGAAACAAAACAAAACAAAACAAAACACCTGTCTTCAAGCTGAATGTTATGAATGGTCTTCAGGTAGAAGAAAATTATCTAGCACTTAACATGCTTTCATGTTAGGTCAAAAGGGTCACAGATATTGAGATGCCTTGAAAGGCAAAAGCAGAATAATGAAAGGAAGACAAATAGATACCTAGACTGGTAAACTGGATGGTAAACTCATTCTGAGACAGAAAGTAAAATCCTTCCTTCTATACATTGTTTCTTTTCTGCTCCTTTAGGGACAGTTTTAATTCCAGGAACCACTCAGCTGACCCAGAAAGACATTCTCTACAGACTACAATCTTCGAAAGCAAAGTGCATTATTACCAACGAAGCTTTAGCCCCAGCAGTAGATGCTGTTGCATCTAAATGTGAAAATCTGCACTCCAAGCTAATTGTGTCTCAGAAACTCAAAGACGGGTGGGGGAACCTCAAGGAGATGATGAAGTGAGTAGCCATAACTGCTATAGAACAGCTTCCCAAAAAGAAAGGCAACACTGAAAAGATATTGAACCACAAGTGCTCAGAAAAATGAAAATTAAAACGAGGCAAAGGGAGCAACTGGTGATTATTGCTGCGCTAATAATCTGCAAAGCTCTGAGGCAGGAAGGAGCTTGGAGTGGTTTTTGAATGTTAGGATCTTGACGGAAACAGGCCCTGAGATAGAGATTAGTTGTGTAAGAAGTTTATTAAGGATTTGTCTTGGAGTCAACCCCTATGAAAGAAGGGGAAGGATGTGGGATTGGGCAAAAGAAGAAATTCATCTGCCATGCCCTCCCAGAAAAACCTTCAGCTAATCCACTGGGATGTCTGGGGCTTGGAGAGTCCTTCAAAGTTGTTCCCAGATCAAGCAAAAGGTCCTGGCCTTTATATACCCTCACTGATCAGTAACTGAGTGTAGGCTCTCCCTAGAAGGAGGGGTGATCTTGAGTGAGGCAGCTCTCTGCAGCCAAAGCAATCTCTAAATAGGGCTCCCAGCACCTGTGGGGAGTAAGTCCTTTGTTCCTGCAGCAGGATCTAGGAGGTACATTCACAACACCAACCACAGAGCTGTTATCTCCCAGAGAAACTGATCATAATCAATTCTTATGTATAGACTATATCATTTCCTTGCAGATAGCAACATTTCAGGTTATAAATAAGAACACTTAATGTTAATGGATGCAATTAGAAAACTAAGTTACATTGATGTTCAGTCCTTGCTATGGAATGCTTCCAGGGGTCACTTAGCCCTCTTGCCAGGTATTGGTTCTATCTTAGCTCTAGGCTGGCAGCCAGTTCCCTCTCTAGAATGAGCTTCCCACCTTTACTCAAGGATTTGGAAGCATGTTTGCAACTATTGACTTATTCCTACCTCTTCTAAAATAGCTAACATTTGGGATGCCTGGGTGACTCCGTCGCTTAAGCGTCTGCCTCTGGCTCAGGTCATGATCTCAGGGTCCTGGGATGGAGCCCCGCATTGGGCTCGTTGCTCAGTGAGGAGCCTGCTTCTCCCTCTCCCTCTGCCTGCCACTCTGCCTACTTGTGCTCTCTCTCTCTGTCAAATAAATAAATAAAATCTTTAAAAAATTTAAAAAAATAGCTAACATTTATTGAGTTCTTACCGAAAGCCAAGTACTGTTCTAATTAAAAAGGTTATAATTGCAATAATGGGTAACATTTATATGGCACTGGTTATGTGCCAAAAACTGTTCCAAGCATTTCACATATATTAACTCATTTTCATGTCACAATAACCTAAGAAGCGGGTACAATAGTAATACAAATGAATAACGTCAAATGCTAGGATCTGGCAGAGCTGGGTTTCATACCCAGGGAGTCTGGCCCCTGAGCCCACACTCCCAACTGCTATGTTTACTGCCTCTAGTGGTGAGAGATTGGTATGATAACCCCACCTTAGGTTTCTATCTACAATAGAAGTGATAGGTATGCAGCTATAGGTACAATTTTTAAGGAAGAAAAGTATGGAATCACAGACTAAACACTTAGTCTAGCTTTATTAGTCTTTTAAAACAGCTTTTCTATGATTCTTGTGGCCTGGATGTTTCTAATCCTAATGTTTCATTCTCAGCCCAATACTCCTAGATAAAATCTCTATGCTTCTTAGGCACTGTGTGTGCAAAGTTCACCTCCTCTCAGGTGCCCTAATGTATGACCTATTAGCAGCCCAGTTATCCTTTGGAACTACAGCTGATTCTTGAACAATGTGGGAATTACCAACCTGACTTACACCATTACCCATGACTTCTGTTCACATACTCTTTTTTTTTTTTTTTGAGATAGTGAGGAGAGAGCATGAGCAGGGGGACAGAGGGAGAGGGAGAAGCAGGCACCAGACTGAGCAAGGAGCCCGATATGGGGCTTGATCCCAGGACCCTGAGATCATTACCTGAGCCAAAGGCAGTCGCTTAACCAACTGAGCCACCCAGGCGAGGCGTCCCTCATACTCACTTTCTTAAAAAAAAAAAAAAAAAAAATCACTTGAAAACATCTACAGTGCAGAGGAAGGGTCAGTTCTCACATAGCCTTGATTATAAGATCATAGACTCCTCATTCTGCTAGTGGTATGATAAACCACTTGAGTTTTTTAAAATGCCTCAGCTCTTCTTTATCGTAAAGAGCTATGAAGCCAACTATTATAAATGGGCTTTGATGACAAAATTTAGTTTAATTCCAGAAAGCACCTAAGAAGATGGAGTAAGAGATGACTTTTACCTTGGAACTCAACCTAAGTCATTGGGGCCTGATCCATGAGGTGAAGAGGTCCACATAGATGGTTTCTTGAATTCTTTTCTGTGGTAACATTTTATGATGCCACGTGCAATGTGCAGAATCATTGTAGTTCTTCCTTTGTAGACACGCCAGTGACAACCACACCTGTGTGAAGACAAAACACGATGAGATGATGGCTATTTACTTTACCAGTGGAACAAGCGGATCTCCTAAAATGACTGGACACACTCATAGCAGTTTTGGTTTAGGATTATCTGTAAATGGAAGGTACCTTCACAAAACTCCAGATTGACGTGTCAAAACTACAGAGGGGATGATTCATTTATTGGTCTTTTAAATGTGTTTTCCTTATATATATCAGAACCATTCTTTGTTTTCCCAGGTTCTGGCTGGATTTGACTCCTTCAGATGTGATGTGGAATACCTCAGACACAGGCTGGGCAAAGTCGGCGTGGAGTAGCGTCTTTTCTCCATGGATCCAGGGAGCATGTGTATTTGCACATTATTTGCCACGTTTTGAGCCAACTTCCATCTTGCAAGTAAGGCAGAGCACAAGAGGTCACCATTTAGGAATGCTTTAGCAGCGTCCCTGACAGGACTGATGAATAAAGTAACTTGCAGAAATCAGAGTAGACAACATGACTTAAGATATTTCACATCTGGAAAGTCAATTATCCTGAAAAGATATACAGAGGAAATGTGTGAATGCATTTATGTTAGAATAAACAACGTTTAAGTTGTGCTGTGCCTACCATAAACATTTAGGAACTTATTAAAGTTGTAGTAAGACTAAGAGCTTAATTCTAAATTGCAGACACTTTCCAAGTTTCCCATCACAGTCTTCTGTTCAGCACCAACTGCATACCGAATGCTTGTACGGAATATGACCAGGTAAGAAACGTTGGTAAAGAGGCACTTAGTGGGGGTAGGGGAGAGGAAGAGGAAGTCATAAAATAAAGGATCTTTCTCTCTAAAAACATAGCTCCACATTAGTAGGTATGGAATTTAACAATCTCTTGTCCCCCTTCTCCTTGCTTTCATTCTTTAAGTCATAATTGTTACGTCCAGGCAGGCTCCCCCAAGCAAGGAGAGGAAAGGGAGGGTTCAGCCATAGGTATACCACTGAGTCCAGTGGTTATGGATAAAAGGATGTTTAATCTTTTGGATGATGAATGTTACCTGAGCTGAGAAACTAGAGAAATGACCCCTATTTGGAACCCTATCCCAGCAAATAGGAAAAAGGATATATGTCTTTTGCTGTATTACTGATTCCATTTGAAAGGGTGCATTGGTAAATATTTTTAAATTGTTAAAATTGTTAAAACTTTTTGAATAGGAAATATTTCATATGATATAAAATTTAATAGGTATATAAGAATATAGAGTGAAAGGTCGTCTTCCTCTAAGCCTTGTCCTCAGTCTCCGTTCTCCTTCTCCATGAAATCTGTGCAAACACAAGCCAATATGCCAGTATTCTCACCCTTTTATAAACATAAATGGAAACATAATATGTTCACAGTTCTGCACCTTCCTTTTTTTGCCTAACAATACATCCTGGAACTGTGTGCTATCCAGTTCTATTCAATATGGTAACCACTTGCCACATGTAATTACTTAAATTTAGTTTTAACTAAAAATTCAGTTCCAAAGTTGCACTAGCCGTGTTTCAAGCACTCAGTAGCCACATAGTGCTAGATGATTCTGCAGTGGATAGTGCAGATAATAGAACACTTTGATTGTGGCAAAGATTTCTATTGGACAGCACTGTCTAGGAGCTTCCTTATTCTTTTTTTTATAGCTCTATAGTATTCCATTGCATAATATTCCACAGTCAATTTAACCACACAATTGGTAAATTTTTAATCACTGATTTAAAATGTTATCACGCAGCGCCTTCCCTGAGGATGACATGGCTTTTTTTTTTTTTTTTTGGCAACAAATCACACACTCCCAAAAAATAAAAGTGGGGAAAAAATGGATGTCTTGGGAGTCATTTTATGATGTTAGAATGGTTTGTTTATTTTGTATTGGAGAGGGGAGGAAGGAGGAAACTAAAACACACTTTATATTGAATTTCATTAGAAATAACTCTAATTTTCATTTCTCTCCATTTTTTTCTCCTAAATTTAACTTAACTTGTTTTCTGAGAAGCTATAAGTTCAAAAGCTTAAAGCACTGTGTGAGTGCCGGGGAACCAATCAATCCTGAAGTGACTGAACAATGGAGAAAAAGGACAGGTCTGGATATCTATGAAGGATATGGACAGACTGAAACGGTATAGGACCTCATCGAAAAGACAGGGCTGGACTTAGCTGGATAATTAAAACTGATAAATAAATATAAATAACAGATAAATAAATTTTAAAATAAGTGTTTATTATATCCTTATGATTGAGGGATAGGGAGGGAGATGAGTGGTTAGAATAGTTAAAAAAAAAAAGTTGGGAGGGAAGCTAGTTGCAAAAAAGCTCTGTAACAGATACAGTTGTTTAGACATTCATTGAGAAAAGCCACAATAGGGCTGATCAGAGTGAGAGCATTAAAATATATTTTAAGTGAAAAAACGCTAGATCCACAGAAAGATTTCCCCTTATGTAAGAGGGAACTCTCTTAGTCAGGGCTGCCTCAAAAATGGAAAATGCTGAGTTCCTTGTTACTTGAAATATTAAGAGTTCACTAGATAACTCCTTGGCAAGTATACTCTAAAAAGGGTTATTTAAAGAGCTTGTAGAAATAAGAATAAGAAGAAATTCTAGAGGAAATGAATAAACTACTAACAAAATTGGTTATTATGTAAGGAAAAGGGGGCATACAATGGAGCAGATAAGGGAAAGGCTGAAAGAAATTTTTCATAGCGTGTCTTTTTATAATGCTTCTATTTATAAATCATGAGAATGTAGTACCTGGTCAAAAATTAAAATAGCAAAAATAAAATTGACAGATGTTTTAAATAGAAACAGCATAACAAGTATCATGCTAATAGGAGTACAAATGTTTTCATAAATATGGATATTTTAGTAATTACCAACTTATTGTTATAACTTTACTGTATGTATTTGTTTATGTCTATCTCTACATTTCATGAGAACAGAAAATGTTTTATTTTGAGCCTCGGTCATCATAATAATGATCATCAATAAATGTTTAATGAATGCATGGTAGATAAATAAATGAATTTTAAGTTACTTATAATGTTACTTGGTTCTTTCTCCTTCTGAACTAGGTGCTAATCTGTGGAAATTTTAAGGGAATGAAAATTAAGCCTGGCTCAATGGGAAAACCGTCTCCTGCTTTTGATGTTAAGGTTTGCACATCCCCTTCCAGGGGAATATTTAACAACCCAGTCAGGTTACCACTTAACCCACTCTACCCTCCCCTACAGTCCTAGCTTCGGTGATAATATCATGTTACTTCTATGATATCTTAATCTCCATGTAATGGAAATGGATTAGAGACATTACTTTAATGGTCTCTCTCTCTCTCTCTTTTTTTTTTTTTGCAAAGCAGTTTTTTGTGCCAGTTCTAGGCATTTTATAAATATTAAGCTATTTGATTCCCAGAAAGAACCTATGAAAGACATGACATACCAATATAAGAACTATTTTACAATGGCTGAAGGGAAGTAGGAGATAGAGGCTTCTAGTTTAGAATGAGTAAATTACAAATATAAAAGATACAGCATAGGGAATATAGTCAATGGTATTGTAATAGTATTGTATGGTGACAGAGGGTAGCTACACTTGTGGTAAACATAACATAATATATAAACTTGTCGAATCACTATGTTGTACACCTGAAACTAATATAATATTGTAGGTCAACTGCACTTCAATAAAAAATAAAAAAGAACCATTTTATAGATGAGGCACAGAGAGGGAAGGAATTTACCAGAGGTCACACAGCTAGGAGCTACTAATGCTGGGATTCAATCCCAAGCCATCTGGTTCCAATATCTGTATTCTTAACCACAATACCACACTGCCCTTTCTGATAAGGGAGGTCAAGACCTTCTAAGGGGTTCAAGTAGGCCAAAGGAAGCTACAGTTTACAGTAGCTGAAGTATTTTTCTCCTTCCCCAGCCCTGCCTGGCCATTTCCTGGCTCTCTATAACCATGGCCATTATTACCACCTGATCCCTAGGGAGCATCCTATTATCCCATCTGCACACTTTGTACAGTGTTAGAATTGTTCTCTGGTCAGTACACCCAAAGCTAGGTATAGCCAAAGGAACTTACACTGATACATAAGAGAAAACCATAGCATAGCAACAAAAACACAAAATGGATGAATTTACAGAATGGAGCGCTCAAAACTAAACCTAAATGAGGGGTAATTATAGACAAAATCAATCTTCCCAAGCTTTTCTGATCATAAGGATTACATGGACACTTGTTAAAAAATACTAATTTCCAGGCCCCTTCTAGGTAGGACCCTGAAATCTGTGTTTTAAACAAGCATCCCAGTTCTTATGATCAGGTAAGTTTGAGAAAGTTTGAGTAAGTTTGATATGGATTGCTGATGTCAGTTTATAGAATAAGCCAGATCTGGGTTCTTTCCCTCGCTTTAACTTCACTGAGAACCTTGTCTAAAGATAGGCTTGCCTGGTGGTTCAGGTCTAGCTCTGAGTTTCATGAGTTGAGGGTCTTTGGCTGAGTGTCTCTGGGGAAGTTATTAAAGTCTCAGTTTCCTGATTTGTAAAATAGGGACTAGGATGACCAACTTGTCCCAGTTTGCCTGGGACTTACTTGGTTTTAGCATGTAAAGTCATACATCCCAGGGACACTCTCCTGCCTCTGTCCTGGGCAAACCAAGATGGTTGGTTGCCCTAATAATAACAGAACTGCTATCATAGGTTTCTTGTGAGGATTAAATGAGATGATATCTCTAAAGAGCATAACAAAGTGCTTCACACATAATAAAGGTCCAAAAGATAGGTGCCATTATTATCATTCATCTCTCCCTTGCATTCCCTTCCTTTGAAAAGTTTTTCTAAGAAGCGATGGTAGGGGAGCCCTGGTTACATTCTGTAAACAGGATTAACAATAGTTCATTGGTTTATAGCCTGCCTTAGGTTGGAGAAAGAAATATTGGTAATTAAGCATTATCATGTCTGCATTATAAATAATCAAGTTGGCATTTCAAAAAGCTGTGTTCCTTTCTTCCTTCTTAACCACAATTCCCAATATGCATTGCTGTGAAGGTCTCACAGGTGCAGCTGTACTCACAGCGATCCAACAGCAATGTATCACCACTACCCCACTAATTCAAGCCCAGTGGTTTTTCTGGAGCAACTACATTTGAATGCAGAAAGGGTATGGCCAAGAGGAGAACTGCTCTGTCATGCGTTCCCAGTCAGCATTATTACCTTCATTTTTTCCCAATTTTTAATTACAATAAAACACATAAAATGGACCATCTTGTTTTTTATTTTTAAAGATTTTATTTATTTATTTGACAGAGAGAGACACAGCGAGAGAGGGAACACAAGCAGAGTGGGTGGGAGAGGGAGAAGCAGGCTTCCCGCTGAGCAGGGAGCCTGATGCAGGGCTCGATCCCAGGACCCTGGGATCACGACCGGAGCCGAAGGCAGACGCTTAATGACTGAGCCACCCAGGTGCCCCAAAATGGACCATCTTGACCATTTTTAAGTGCATAGTTCAGTAGTATTAAACACGTTCATAATATTGTGCAACTATTACCACGATCCATCTCCATAACTCTTTTCATCTTGTAAAACTATATCTGTATCTATTAAACAGTAACTTCCCATTCCCCAATGCCCCCAGCCCTGGCAACCACCATTCTACTTTCTACTTCTGTGACTACTATTTATAGTACCTCATATTAAGTGGAGTCAGTGTTTGTCTTTTTGTGACTGGCTAATTACACTTAGCATAATGTCCTCAAGTTTCATCCCTGTAGCATGTGTCAGAATTTTCTTCCTTTTTTAAGGCTGAATAATATCCCATTGTACGGATATAACACATTTTGCTTTTCCATTCATTTGTCGTCAATGGGTGCTTGGGTTCTTTCCACATTTTAGCTATTGTGAATAGTGCTGTGATCAACATGAGTATACAAATACCACTTCAAGACCATGCTTTTAATTCTTTTGGGTACATACCCAGAAGTAGAAATGCTGGATCATATGGTAATTGTTTTTAATTTTTTGAGGAATGGCCATACTGTTTTCCACAGTGGCTGTACCATTTTACATTCCCACAACAGTGCACAAGGGTTCCAGTTTTTCCACATCCCCGCCAACACTTGTTTTCTGTGTTTTTGATAGCTATCCTAGTGGATGTGAAGTGATATCTCTTGGTAGTTTTGATGTGCATTTCCCTAAGGTAAGCTACCTTCATTTTTAACTTTTTCCCAAGGGCTCTTATTACTGCTCTTGTTACCTAGCGAAGAGCATCTGCAATGACAGCGTGGCATCTGGGGATGTGCTCCGATGAGCTAGATACCGGATTCTTGCAGCTTCAAAGCCCAAAGCCCATAATTTTCATGTTTGAAGATTTTTAAGGCCACTTGAACAATAAGGAATGTGATTCTCTCCAGAAATAAGACATTTTGCCTCTTCCCATCTATTAAAGAGTAGTCTAAGTATCTGGAACTCTTAAAACCTCTCCTTTCCTTCAGTAATTCCTTGATACTGGAGCCAAATGTTCTTTAGACGACTGTGTGGGAATTTATATTTTTTTATTTACAAGAACTTAAAAGTAAGATTTTACATTTAGAATTCTTCTGCCTTTCAAGTTTCTCTTTGGGGACACAGCCCATTTCCATCAGGAAAGTGCCAAATAAGTATTATACCTTTATTTTCCACACAAGCCACATCTTAGGTTTGAAGGCTCTTGGTGGGTGTATATAAAAGAAAGTAGAGAGTTCATATTTAAAGATAGCTAAAAGTTACTTAAGGCAAAATCTGGTACATGAGTTAAGTAACCAGCCTGAAAAATGTTAATCTGGGTTTTTAAAAATTGAATTGAACTCCGTGGAGAGATTCTACAGAGAAGTATAGTGATGAAAAGGGCAGGATCTGGAGTGTGATTGCTGAGATTTGAATTCCAGTTCCGTCATATACTGTGTTGCTTAAACTCTGCACCTCAGTTTCCTCATAGGTAAAATGAGCGTAGTAATAGTGCTAACCAGATAGAACTGTTGTAAGGACTCAAGAAAACAATACATGTGAAGTACTTAGAGCTGTAGAATTTATTACTTGGAATGTAGTCAGGGGCTATGAAATGCTAGCTACTGTTAGGTACTTCACTGTTAGGTACTTTGGGGGAACCAGGAGGACTGGGAAAAAGATAAGAAAGCAAGGCTTCTGGCATACTCACCAGTGTCTCAACCAGAAAACATTCTCCTTTCCCTGCTTACTTATATGGGGCTCCTGAAGTAAGGTTTTATTTGTTCCACAGTTAATCAAAGTTTGAAAACCAGTAATGAAATATTTACTTGAGAGTAAAAGATAACCAAGACATACCGCAAATGATAAAAGAAGGTTGTAAAACAGTATACTATAAAGTGATCCTATTTTTTCCTATGTCTATGTTGTCTTAAAAAAATCACCAAAAATGCGATTATTGCTAAATAGAATTAAAGATGATTTTTATTCTTCACATTTTTCTAACTTGCACTTTATCATATATTTTGCACTAAGAATTTAAATAAACACATTTCTCTTGGGAATTTAAAGTATACTTAATTTTTTTTTGAAGTCTGCATTCTTAAATGGCAAAATACAAAACAAAACATGCAAAGTAAAATTTTAACATGTATCTTTACATAAAAATTTCCTTAAATAAATTGTTCTATTTTATCCTAGATTTTAGATGTAAATGGCAATGTTCTACCTCCTGGACAAGAAGGAGATATTGGCATTCAAGTTCTACCTAAACGACCATTTGGCCTTTTTGCTCATTATATAGTAAGAGACTTATTAAATACATCTTATTTCCTATTTATTTCTCAAAAGTGCTTGGTAACTATCCCCGTTTGCCACAAAACACACCTAGGATAGGTGCTTGGACTTTTCTTGAGAGAGATTCATTGTCCTGAATAGTAATTCCTCAGATAGGAAACTGAAGAAACACCCAAATGCTTGTTCTCCTGAGGCTAGATCACTGCTCCAGGCTCATGAAGTAAGAGAAGGGAGCCCTAGAAAGACAGCCCTTTTTGTATACACTGATCCTATACATGATAAAACAGCACCTAATCATTTTCCTGAAATTTGATTAGTGGTCTGCCTTCTTGAGTGAGAGGGATAGAAATGGTGCAGAGAGATTAAGAAATATCTTTCACTAGAGGCCTTCCAAGCTCCCTACTGTTTGCAAACCAAGTATACAAATAAAAGTGAAATTTACATTGATATAATCAAAGGTCCAGGTTCTACTTGTCAGTGAAATTTTTTTATTTTTATTTTACTTTTTAAAAGATTTTATTTGACAGAGATAGAAAGAGCACAAGCAGGGGGAGCGGCAGGCAGAGGCAGAGGGAGAAGCAGGCCCCCTGCTGAGCAAGGAGCTCCATGTGGGGCTTGATTCCAGGATCCTGGGATCCTGACTTGAGCGGAAGAAAGACACTTAACCCACTGAGCCACCCAGGCATCCCTACGTGTAGGTGAATTTTACATAATGTAACAATACTTCCTTTTTCTTCCTGCCAAAGTTACAGAACCAGTTCTCTGTTTTTGTGTAAAATGAAACAAAATAAAAAAACAAAGTTTATTCTTTATTAGGTGCTGGTGCTTTCTTTTAACTCTGAGTATTCACCTCTCTCTTTTCCTGCCAGTGCTAGGTATTAACCACTGAAAAGACTTAATATCCCACACCTTGGATGTCTGAACTCCTGCAGTATTTAGTGATCCATCAAAGAAAATTCTCAGGGGGATGCCTGGTGGCTCAGTCGGTTAAGCATCCAACTCTTGGTTTCCCCTGGCGTTGTGATCTCAGGGTCGTGGGATTGAGCCCTACATCAGGCTCTGCATTCCACGTGAGGTCTGCTTGAGATTCTTTCCCTCTCCCTCTGCCTCTCACCCACTCCCAGTCTTTCTCTCTCTCCCTCTCAAATTTTAAACATCTTTAAAAAAGAAAAGAAGGGGCACTTGGGTGGCTCTGTCAGCTAAGCATCTGCCTTTGGCTCAGGTCATGATCCCAGGGTCTGCTTCTCCCTCTCCGTCTGCCTCTCTCCCCGTTCATGCTCTCCCCCTCGCACTCTCCTTCTCTCTCAAAATGAATAAATAAAATCTTTAAAAAAGAAAAGAAAATTCTCAGAATGGCAGCATGTCTAGTCTTTATAACTGTAGTTTACCTTTCTTTGACTAGACTAGCTCAATGCTGGAATTTCATCCTTATTTCATGTGCTGGCTTCTCTTCATTCCAAGGCTTCTCAAAGAAACCACTTTTTTTCCCTCTTGAGCATTTAAAAATCCAACCAAACAGAAGAATCACATTCACAGTAATACTAACAAAATGCTATTTGTTTCACAGGATAATCCTACAAAAACAGCTTCAACACTACGAGGCAATTTCTACATCACTGGGGACAGGGGCTATATGGATGAAGATGGCTATTTCTGGTTTGTTGCAAGATCAGATGATATCATATTATCCTCTGGGTAATTTTTCATCTGTATAATGTCTACATTAATTGATCATTGGTGTTCTGGAATGGACCTGCTGTTCACCTTTATGAATTCCTGTCATATGTTTTATTTCCCAGTTACAGAATTGGACCATTTGAGGTAGAAAGTGCCCTGATTGAACATCCTGCAGTTGTAGAGGCAGCTGTTGTCAGCAGCCCAGACCCCATCAGGGGAGAGGTAAAAAAAAAAAAAAGGATTCATCTCCACTTTATAATTTGTTGGCAGTCTAACATATACTTTTCAACAGTTCATTGAAACAGAATTACCCAAATGATTCATTCACTAACTGCAAGTCAGATAGTCATTAGTAAATATGCTAGTCAGAAAAAACTGCTAAGAATAAGACTGAAAATATATATAAGGAATTTGAATCCTTTCCATAGAGGGATGGTGTGAATGCCAACAACCCAGGGTCACAGCAAGATAGGATGGCAGATGTCAGCTAGATAGGATTAAGTTATTACCCAGGTCTGGAAATCAACATGGTCTCTAGTGTAGCTGAGGAGGATAGGCAAGCATCAAATATCAGGGGTGGAAGGAAGGTCAGAGATAGCAACTGAGGCAACCGGAAGTAGGCTGGCTACGTAGGCAAGTGGAAAGTGGAAGATTCAGGAAATAAGCTGTGAATAAGACAGTCCTAAAAACTCATCCCCTCCCCCCTTTTTTTTAAAGTAAGCTCTATGCCCAACAACGGGCTTGAACTCATGACCCCGAGATCAAGAGTAACATGCACCCTTGAAAGCTCATTCTTATTGGGGCTGATCAGAGGGTAGTTTGGGTTTAAAGGTTCCATGCTACTCTTCAGGTCCCCTTTGCCAAGCAGAGCCTCCAATATTCCAGATAGATGAGAGCAGGGAATTGATTCTGTGATTACTGAAGTTTATCCTTTCACTCTGAACTCCACTGGTAGGAGCACAATGTTCCTTGGAATTTGAAGGCCATAAGGCACTACTGGACCTATGCAATGACGGAAAGGTTCTATATCTGCACCATTTGATACAATACACACGGCTGTAAAGCACTTGAGAATGTGGTTGGTGTGACTGAGAAAATGTTTATTTCATTTTAAATTTAATTAGTTACATGTGGCCAGTGGCTACCAAATGGTACAATTATAGACTCATAAAAATGCAAAATTTTGCAGAGAATTTTAGAGAAACTTTGAAGCGGACTTAAGGATTTTAGTTAAAAAAAAATTCTATTTTTCTAATACTACTACAACTAATACCTAATATTTCTAAGGACTTATTCTGATGTTCCAGGTATTACAAGCCCTACACAGGGCCTGTATATGTTAACCTATTTAATCTTCACAACCTCTCTTTTTGGAGAAGGAAATAGGCACAGAGAGGTATCCTAACATTCCCAAGATTACACAATAAAGTGTGATTTGAACCCAGGCCGTCTGACTTTAGAGTTCATACTCTTAATCATGTTAGGGTGCTCCATATTAATTTACGATCTTCTGCAATGGTTTATAAAGATTTTTATAGGGGCACTTGGGTGGCTCAGACAGTTGAGCATCTAATTCTTGATTTCAAGTCAGGTCATGATCTCAGGGTCATGAGATCAAGCTCTGAGTCAGGCTCTGCACTCAGCATGGAGGTCTGCTTGAGATTCTCTCCCTCTGCCCTTCCTCCAACTGCTGTGTGCATGTGTATGCTCTCTCTCTCTAAAATAAATAAATCTTAAAAAAAAACTTTTATAGAGTAGACCTTATCCGAGGTGCAGAAGTCATCAATATGCAAATCAGTAATTATAAACATTAGTTCTTAAAATAAGCTGCCCCTGAATGATTCACTTATAGCAAGGTTAAATTTTTTTAATTCATAAAAATGTTGATAAAGCAGAAGAGCCAGTATAAACACAAAAATTTTATGAAATATCAAAAAATGGATATGATAAAATGGATAAATAGTCCAAAAACTCTGGGCAGGGCAGGATTTTCCAAAACATTTCAAGGAAGAGTGAACTTTGAAAACAGGATTTGTGAGTATAAAGTGATAAAGTCTTCCCTGTCTCTGACAATTAGAGAGCAAGGACCACCACCATTTTCTAATCTTGTTCCTCAGGGTCAGGTAAATTGGTCAGAGTAATAGCAAAATGGCTGTTGGAATCTTCACAGCCTTATATCAACATAAGTATCTCTGGAATGAAGAGTGCACAGCCTCAATGAACTGTTCCTTCAATAAGGATATAGCAAACTCGGTGTGAATACTCTTTATAAGGGCCACACTGAGGGTGGGGACCTAGGAACTAGGCTAGATCAGGCTAAGATGTTACCCAAGAGGCTGTGCTTAGTGCATTGTCGAGTTTCTAAAAGGAAGGTTTTTTTTCTAAAAGGAAATTTTCTTGAAGGAGATAAAAGATGAGGCAAGAAGTCAAGAGGAAAGACAGCTCAGAAACAGAAGCAGGTCAGAAAGCAGAGTTCAAGATGTAGTTAGATGAGAAAGTTCTAGTTCATTAAGATCATTAACAAAGCAGGGCTCCCAGAAACTCTCTTGTATTAGAAGAGGAGTTATGGGACTCAACTGGCTGACTTAAGAGCACAGACCTGGGATCAAACCCTATGAAGCCTTCTGGTCCACCCCAGCAGGCATTAGAGTCCCAGTTAGAAAAAGTAAACAAGACACGCTAAAACATAAAAATATACAACTCATCTTCCTGGTGTTTCAAATATTTTTTTCAGGTAGTAAAGGCTTTTATTGTTCTGACCCCTGAATCCAAGTCACATGATCAAGAACAACTAAAAAAGGAGATTCAAGAGCATGTAAAAAAAACTACAGCACCTTACAAATATCCCAGAAAGGTAGGTATTCTAATTATGATGACAATTTGCTTAGTGTTCTGACAAATTTCAGCTGTTTATTTATTTTTTTAATGAACATTCTCCTCAAACATGCTACACCAAATATTCCAAACTGAACTAATGACATGGATAAGAATCAGAATCTTTGAGATTAAAATGAAACTCTTGACATAATTTGCAGGGTCATTTGGCTCACTGGACTAGTAGTAAATACTAAATATCAAGCAACATCTCCTCAACAATACCCCTCTCCCTTTTTGGTTGTTACCAAAACCCACCCAGATGGGTATCCTAATTCTTTTACCTAGAGATAATAAAACTGGTATACAATTGACTTTGTATAAAGATGAAAACTTCTGGGCTAATTTTTTCCCTTACTACCAACAGGTAGAATTTGTTCAAGAGCTGCCAAAGACTATCAGTGGGAAGATAAAAAGAAATGAACTGAGGAAGAAAGAATGGGAAACAATTTAAATCCATTCTATTATTTATCACAGTATCTATAAAACAAAGACTCTGTCCAAACCACAAGAGTATAGAGGTGATTAAAAATGTGATAATATACTTACAAATTGTTGATTTAAAATATCTTGTGGTTGGAGCACCTGGCTAGCTCAGTCAGTAGAGCATGCAACTCTTGATCTCAGGGTTCTAAGTTTGAGCCCCACATAGGGTGCAGAGATTACTTAAAAAAATAAAATCTTTTAAAAAAGCAAAATAAAATATTTTGTGGGTATAACATCAGAAGCTGAATTCTGAAATAAAATATTTAGTAAATTCCTCTGCATTAGTGTCAATGTTATTATGATTTTGGTAATATAAAAAGAATGCCATCAAGTGCTGAGAAATTTTTAAACATAGTATCTGAACCAAATTTCTGACCTGTTTGTTTTCAAATTCTAGTTGAATAATTCCTCTGATATGTTGATATACAAATCAGAACAAATCTTCAAGTTTTGAAATAAAACTAAACAACTTATTATAAAAGTTTTTAGAAAAATAAAAATCTCAGTTAGAAGATACCATAATTCTTAAAGTCTAAATATCTACCTGAAAACAGGCTAGGGATTTTTATTAGTCACATTTTTATTCAAGTAATTTAAAAATAGTTTAAACTCATTTCAAGGTCTAACTAAAAGAAGAACATCATACTACAGTTGCTTGTATCTAATCAAATGCAGTATACAAAATATTTAATTTGTGGCTCTTCAAAAAAGTATGATAAATTTGACAAGTGTTAAGATACGACATAAAAGGGTGCCTGGGTGGCTCAGTTGGTTAAGCGACTGCCTTCGGCTCAGGTCATGATCCTGGAGTCCTGGGATCGAGTCCCATATCGGGCTCCCTGCTCAGCGGGGAGTCTGCTTCTCCCCCTGACCCTCCCCACTCTCATGCTCTCTCTATCTCATTCTCTCTCTCAAATAAATAAATAAAATCTTTAAAAAAAAAAAAAGATACAACATAAAAATAAAACAGTGTACAACTATTATCAGAATACTCATGATGTTTGGAAATTCAAGGAACAATCAGGATTCATACATGAATAGAAGACAAATGTCAGATAACCGATGAATGAAATTAGAAGACTGTGAAATTGACTTTTTCTCTATTTTCAGTGTATGTGTGTGTGTGTGTGCGTGTGTTTAATAGCCCCAATACAGTCTACAGAACTCATATATGCTAAGTCCCCATAACTTGTAGCCCTATATACTTTTTTCTCTTTATCACACAAAAAGTCGTATTAAAGTAAAAACAGTTTAGATGTAGAGAAAGTTTATCAATTCCTCATTGAAGGTCTGAGTCTCAATGAATTTTTAGTAGAAAAATTTACATTTCTGTCACAAATATGGCTTATTTCTGGGGAACTAAAAGTGAGTCCCCCTGGGGAATGAGACAGAACTCTGCTGTTGGCTCTCTCCTTTTGAAGTGTTTGTTCCCATTTGAAATAACCACAACATTTTCTGTTTTCTTGGTATTTCCCAATTGGGCAACAATAGAAGACTTTTCCATGGTTTGGTCCATTATTAGAAACAACAAGTCTCTTAGATCTTCGGCCACACTTGCATAAAGGAGGTGTCATTTTCCCACTCTTCCAAGGCTCTTGTAGGTTAACTGTAGAAGCTAAGATAGAGGGGAGGACCTTCTGGGAACAACTTCTCACTGGGGAGCCATCAGATGATGTAGGCTTTTCTTCATGAACAGTGAGGGTCTGTTTTTTTGCTGGTGGGACAGATAGAGGACTGGATAGATTCCTTTTAGTACCACCTAAAATGAGGGGGTATTTCCCCAAAACTGAAGGATGAGACATAGTGGCATTAACACTGTTGAAGCTACTTGATTTGCATTCAGGTAATTTAAAGTCAGAAACATCTGAATCTGGATCTTTGGCTTCTTTCACATGATAAATAGTAGTATGTGGACTCTTATATACAACAGACTTCGAGGTCCCAGATTTTTGAGGAGTTTCTTCTGTGCCTTCTTTCAAAACCATTAATCTTTCTATAGAATTAAATGAGGTATCTAAGTTTGAGTCACTAATGGAAGGTATACAATCTATACTTTGCTCAGGCTGAGATGCTGGCAGTAAAGCTACATCCTCCCAATCAGCCAACATAGGTAAACAATCAAGAGCAGAACTCATTTCCGTATCAGAAACATGATGAACAGATGAAATGGTAGTTGATACAAGTACCAATTCTGAACCAATTGATGAAGACTTAGATTTGGTATTAAATGCAAGGTGTTCGTTTCTTATGTGCTTCTGCATAGGTGTGTTCAAGCTGGCAGATGGCAACTGCTCCAGAGAAGTAGAGGACTTTGTATTAAAAAGAGATAAATAGCTTTTGCCATTATGAAGACCTGCTTTTATATTGCTCTTTAGCTGGAACTGATCCTGTTGTACCTTTATAGGAGAATTCACACCACCTGACCTCATGTGAACTTTTTCATGAGAATTTACTATATTTTTAGGCTCCCTATCATCTATACTCAGACCCTGAATGCTACTGTTGCAGGAGGATCTTTCTTCAACTTGATTCGTATTCAAATTTCTGGCGAAAACGCTGGAATTCTTCTTAGTGGGGACCTATGATTCCACAGACAAATCCAATAGCTTTAGAAACTATGCATTCGTAATTTCTTTAGTACACATTATATTATTTGACAAAAAAGAAAAATGTCATCATTCACTGATTTATCAATGATTTCCACACATGATATCTGTATTTCAATGAATGTATTACTTCTGGAGTTTGAGATGACAGAATAAAGAGGTAAGACACCACTAACCTTGTTCAAGGACCTTGTAATTTTCATTAAGCAACCATCCCTGATCATTTTCCAAGCAAGTAGGGCAGTATTCCGAGAATCATCCAACCCTGAGGAAATAGATATCAAACACTGAGTTTAGTAATACCATTGTAAAGAAATACAGCAAAAATAAGAAATCACAATTAATATTGGAACATACTACTAGTTTTATGATCATCTACTCATTTTAATCATGATAAATTGGACTAGCAAATGCTGTGACAACCTTACCAACAAAAGACAAGATCTCCCACATTTACAGAGGAGATAAAAATTTGTACAGTTCACAAAAATGTAAGCAACATTCTGTAGGGACCATACTTTGTGAGTAATCTAATGGTCTTGTTCAGTTTTTTCACTAATTCACTGTGTTGTCTGGGCATTTGTTTAATCTCCATTTGATTTAGCTAATTTTCATTCTTTTTTAGCAACTAGAAAGCCACTAGATGGCAGTCTTTATCTTACACTACTTTATGGTAGTATAATTTGAAAGTCCGAAATCTTTGAATTGTATAGATTAGGAACTTTTTTTAGCCTGAAAGGATATTCCTTATTAATGACATCACCAAAAACATGAGATTCATATGAAAGACTTTATAGAAATAAGATGACTTACATAATAAAATTATTTTCAATTTATACTAACCAGAATGTTCTCGTCCTAAGAATTCTATTCCCACTTCCTGCAGGGCACCACTTAGTCCTTTTGGTTTTCTTCTATAGAAAATCTAACCAAATAAAAGAAACATATCCAAAAAAAGGTTACTATTAGAAAGGCTATGTATTAACCACTTACTTTTCATAATTTTTATTTCTATTAGATTTGGAATGTCCTTATTTTGTTGTCATTTGTACATACTTTAAGAAATGTATTTATGTGAAAGTTAAAAAAAAATATTTTATTTATAGTAACCTATACCCATGTATGGGATGAAGTTTAATCATTTTTCAATAGAAGGAAAGTGACCATGCCCCCATCTTTGACCCTTACCTTGTAAGTTACTCTGAGATCAATCCAAGAATTTAAGAATGCAGGTTTTAACAGTTGTTTTCTTTTACACTCATACTCCAGGCAAACCCCCAAGTCCCAGTCTGCATTAAGTATGTTAAAATAGAACAAATTCAATGATGCCAGCAGTTTTTACTCATGCTATCATTTATAAATAAAAGGCTCAAATATTATATAAAATAAGATTTAGAAAGACATAATATATAGTATATAAATTTATATAAATATGTATTATTTATATATATATTAGATATATTTTATATATAATAGTATACAGTATACTATCATTACATACTATATACCAAAGTGTAATACGTACTAGAGAATATAAACTATACTGTATATACTATAACAATATACTATATAAAACAAAATAGGATTTAATTGCTATTAATATCTAACAATTATTCACTTTATATAATTTACTATTAAGAAATTAGGTTGGTAACTAAGTTTCAAAATGATTTCTTAAATACCCAATTAAACACACTGAGTATTTCAGAAAGAAGAGTAAGGTGTCAAGTTACAAGGCCTACAAGGAGGTTATCTGCTTTCAACATTCTAGAAAATACTAATGTAATTGAGAAACCAGACATCTTATAGAAACCTAAAACCAAAAATATGACTATTGATGGCACAGCATTGCTATCAATGACTTTTAATGGCCCCTTTTTTCCTAGTGTGAAAGTATAAAGCAAAGAATGTGAGCTGAATGAAGACTCTTTTTATTCAAGGTTATAGAAAGTAGCATAAAAGTTTTCACTAAATCATCTTTGCCTGGAGCCAGAAGAACAGGGAGGGACAATCTAGAAAGATTCTTAAAGTTAAGTCTTAAAAAATTTTAAAGTATCCCAGAATGGTAAAATTTGAAAAATATGAATAAATTTACTTTCCTTGGTTAACATCTGTTTGGCACTGAGATTTCTTTTTGAGGTCTAAGAGGTTAACAAGTACAATTCTTACTATAGATAACGAATTACATAGTGGTTATCCTACATATTTATGATTGATAGATATAACTTATTTTTTACCTGACCAAGTAACAAATGCACATAATTTTACTTTGGAATTAGGCAGATCTGAAATCCCAGCAGCAAAAATAATTTTCTTCTGTTGTTGAATCTTCTGAATCCATTTACAGAACTGAGATAAGCAAATCCTCAGAGGGACTCCTTCATCAACTTGAGCCTGAGTAAAGTCACAAAATCTAAATTGAACAATCGAATTCTGTAATTATTGAACACATCATTAGCACATAATTAAGCGCTATAGGGGGATGTAAAAAAGAAGAGGTTCTGTGCGCCTGGGTGGCTCAGTTGGTTAAGTGTCTGCCTTGGGCATAGGTCATAATCTCAGGATCATGGGATCAAGTCTCACATCAGGCTCCCTGCTCCACAGGAAGTCTGCTTCTCCCTCTGCCTCTCTCCCCACTCGTTCTCTCTCGCACGCAAATAAATAAAATCTTAAAAAAAAAAAAGAGGTTCTGACTGCCAGAGTTTATTTAGTGAAAAAGATGCTAAAACACATGGAAGAGAGGTGATATAATGATTAGAACTCTGCGAGACAAGAAAAATTAGGTTGCTCTACCTAAAATCACACAGAAATATAGTAATTAAATCCTGACTGACAGAAATTTGATGTCACTTAATTTCCGTAAGTTTGATATTCATTTTTACAACACTATTCTAATTTTTAAAAATTCCAACAGAGTTCTGGAGGGAACATTATTTCTAACAGTACATAAATCTAGTTCCGAATGGTATATACTTTTTATTTTCGTTTAGAAACTGATTTCTGAATTTTAATATTTGCATCATACTTTCTTGTTCCTTTTTGGGGAGGGGCAGGGTGAGAAGAGAGGTAGGGAAAAGAGAAGGGCATACCTGTTTTATGCCTGTCAGTTCCATGCAAAATTCAGAAAGAATTGGATGTTCTTGAGGCTGAACGTAAGCACGGAACTCAGATTCAATCTCTCCAGTTGATGTATTCAGCAATACTGCTGGAAATTCAACTACATGAGAGAATCATCAATTAACACTTGAATACATAATTGTTAAATTAATGCTGTAATCACTCTAAATTAAACATATTTTACCATCATATATCATTATTAGCCAATCATTATTTCAGTAAAAGCATATTAAAATGACCAAAGCAGTGTGATATAACAGTTATAATAAAATTGTGCCAAAGAATAAGTCAGAATATTAAAGTTATGAGTGTATCTATTTAAACTCTTGAATATATTTCCACAATTAAATATGAAGACCATATGTAAGTTAAAATGTACTTTTTGCAAAGGTATTTTTTCAGTTCCTATGCAACTGAGATTTTGTATGGAATTCTAAAATAATTATTTTATATGATGATACTTTTAGATGTTAGATGTTTGTTCTTTTCTTGTCAAGTCAGGTTTTATAGTAAACTACCAATTCATAGGGCATCTTGTTTTCTTTTAACTGTTGACTAGTTTCTATCTATTAAAGTGACTCCTCTAGGGCTAGCTTTGACCACTGGCAGTCCAGACTTACTTATTTCTTGGCTCTGGTGGCGTTTCCCATCATTCCAACATGTTGACTCAAAATCAATGACAATTAAGTAGTCAAACAACTGCTCTGCAAAACAAAGGGTGTCCTTATGCTTTATCAGTGTTAAAAGTGCAAGGGATACAAAATGTAAAGAAATGAAGCACGCTACTTACTAGATTTGCTTCTTCCTAGATTTCCACTTGCTGGTACAACTGACTTTCTTCTAATTAATCCAAGCTGCCTAAAAAAGTAAAACAACCCAATATGTTCAACAAACTCACACTCCTGTTCGAATATGCTAACAAACTAATGGTATAACCCTCATTATTAATGGGAGAGGAAATTGAACTAGACTTTGAGAGCAAAGACCCTGGTTCTTATACTGACTGCCACCCTCTCTTTTAAGTCATTTCACCTGCATGAGCCTCAAAGGTCATATTTGCAAACTTAGACTAATTCTTTCTGCTTCCCTTATTTTACAGTAAATACTGAGGAACTTGGGTGATTGCAGAGGTAAAGATGCATTGAAAAGCTTATTTTTGCCTTTGCATTTTTCAAGCCCTTGCTATGTGCACAGCACGGCTCTGAGGAGATAGGGCAGATCCAGTCTTCCAGGAGCTCAAAATACAGCTGGGTAAAAAACCTAGACATCCATGGTAAACTAGTGGAAGGTAATATATGACAAAGGCAATACCTGAGTTCACAGAAAGGTATGAGCTTACTGAAGTGTTAAGTAAGACAACTACTCCGAAGAACAGGTCGAGTTTAACTAAGCAGACACTTCCTGTTGTCGTTTTTTGTTTAAAACATGTGATGGGAAGCGCAAGGAGTTGGGAATAATTGCGAATATTTATTTGATTTCTTACTACACAGCAGGCACTGAACTCTGGTGATCTCACTTAATCCTCAACAACTGCACGAGGTAGTCACTTTTGCTATCTCTATTTTATGGGTGAGAAAACGGATTCAGTAATTTGCCAAGGAACACAGATTTGGTATGTGAACCCAGGATCGTCCAACTCTGAAGCCCATGCTATTTACTAATACATTACAATACATTACAACAGTGCTTCTAGAAATCAGAAATGTGCACAGCGTGACCAGGAATCAGGGAGAAAGCCACAATAAATCAAATGACGAATTAAACGGATCACCAGGAAGTGGTGGGGTGAACAGCTTGACGGGTGACGTGGGGGCTGCCTGAGACCTCGGAACGGCCTACCAGGCGCTGTCACGTCCATTCGTTTCCCGAGGCCTACAATGGGCTGACAGTGGCTCAAGGCCACACAGTCCGAACCCCGGTTCTTCCAACAACGCGCAGAGGGCGGCCTGAGGCTCGAGACCGAGATGCAAGCAGAGACCTTTCAGTCCGGGCCAGACAGTGCGGGTCGGAGACCCCGGGGCTGCAGAGAATGAAGGCTGATACCGCGGATGCCCACTGCCCAGACCTGCTGCAGACGCCGCACCCGACCAGGAGCCACCCCCAGGCCAGAAACCCCCCCCCCTTACCGCGCAAGCTCCTTGGTCGCCATTCCCGGCACTCCTTACTCCTCCCAGCCCAACTGCGGGAAGTTGTTAACCCCCCACTTCCGGTCCGTTCAAACCCCTGGCGCGTCGGAGGCGGCAGTTGCGGCCGCGGCTCTGGCTGCGAGTGAGGCGGCGGCGGCTGCGGGTTGGGCTGTCTGCCGGCTCGTCTTCGGTGTTTCCGGGGCTTGGGGGCGCGGGGAGTGTTTTTTGGCGGGGAAGTCGCTTGGCAGCAACTTTCTCTTTTTCAACGGGCGGAGGCGCCTTTGCGCCGTTGGGGAACCGTTTCGAATTCGGCCTCCGGCGCGGACGGTAAAACCGTTGGTCTCGGTGCGGTCTTCTCCGCTGCGGAACAGGGAGGATAGTTGGCGCCCTCGCTTTTCCGGGAGGGTTGGGAGGGCTCCGTACACTGAATTGAGGAGAGGATCTGAGGGAGCCTGTAGGCCGTGGAGGCCTCACCTGCTCCCCCGTCAGGAGGCGGCGTTTCCTCAGCTCTCGCCGGTGTTTCTTCACAGCCTCATGGATCCCGAGAGGGAGAGGACCGGGAGGCACCTCAAGAAGGGCAGAAAGAGGAGGCGGGCCGCGAACACGCTGGTCGGGGCGGCTGAGGCGATGAGAGCCCGTTGGACTCTGGAGGAGAGGCAGCCTGAGGCCAAGGTGAGTAACGGGGAGCCCGAGTGGGAGGTTAGGAGCTGCCAAGCCCTCGCCCCAGCCGCCTTCGGGGCCCTTCCTGCCCTGGACGCTGCGGGTCAGCCTCATCCACCCACTGGCCTTTCGGAATCCCGCTTTCCAGTCTGTAAAATGGGAAAGCTGATAATGGTTTTTAAAAAGTGGTGTGGTGCCTGGGACCCAAAAGGAATGTTCACTCAACAAATAGTTTATTGAGTCTTCCGTGTGCCAGGATTTGTCTAGGTTCCGGGAATATCCCCGTGCACGAACCCAAAATTCCTTGCCGTCGTGCAGTTCACATGGCACGCCAGTAGGGGAATAATAAGGCTGATAGAGCATCCCTGCTGTGTATTGAGAACTAAATATACGTGGTCCATCCCTCCAGTCATCAGATTTCTGTTGTCTGCCATGTGCTGGGCACTGCCCTAGGCACTGGGGGAACATCAGTGAATAAACAGAGGTGACTACTTCGTTCTAGTGGAAAGAGACCGAAGACAAACAATAGGTAGAAATGATAACCCGGTTTCCCCCACTATCCGAAAGCAGAGCGGTCCTGTGAAATCTTTCTAAGTTGAAATGGTGTAAAGCAAAGAAGCATTTATTAATTTATGCGGGGGGGCTGGGAACTGGAACGTTTCCAGACTCCCAAAATAACCTCTGTTAGGTTTGCTGATCTCTCAAGACAGATCTTGCTAACTGATGCACAAAATCAAGATAAAGCGCAGATGCTCACAGACAATTCAAAGCTATGAGGGCTTCATGCTAAGTGTAGTTCTTGGGGAAGGAGCTTCGCTGTGCCACTCTGCTCGGGGTGTGCTGCCTTTATAACTGGCTTGTTGTGAAACAAATGCTGAAGGTAAAAAGTGTAAACAGGTACGGTGCTAATAGGTCTGTTGTAAAAGGGAAGTGGCAGAACACAAGCTTTCAGAAAGCAGTGGATACCTGTAGGATGTAAAATGGGAAATAGTGCTATGAAAACATTTTTTATTTAAAAGGGATTCTTTTTTTTGCCTATCAAATTGGCAAAACAACTTTTTAAAGGTTAATATGGTGAAAAGTATAAGGAAATAGACAATCTCATCACTCTTTTATTTTGAAACAATCTCAAACTTACAGAAAAGTTGCAAGAACAGTACCAAAAACGACCCCAGTCAGCATTTGAAAGTGATTGCTAACAATGCTCCATGACCATCCACCCATATTTTAGTATTTCCTGTAAACAGTCCTACATAACCACAGTGCAACCATCAAAATTAAAAATAACATGGATATATTGCTACCATATTATCTTCAGACCCCATTCAAGTTCCTCAGTTCCAGTAATATCCTTTTTAGCAATAAGATCCAGTCTAGAATCATGTGTTACATTTAGTTGTCATGTCTCCTTCAATCTGTACAATTCTTTAGTCTTTTCCTTGACATCTGTGGCCTTACTACTCTTGAAGAATCCTGAACCAGTTATTTTGTAGAATGTCTCTCATGTTAGATTTGTGTGTTTCCTCATCGATTAGTTTTGGGTTATACATGTTTGGCAGGAATATCACAGAAGTGAACTCTTTTCTCTTGTATTTTATTAGGTTGTACATGATTTTGATTTGTTCCATTCTTGTTTTTCTCTAATTTTGTGGAGAGATGCTTCCTTGTTAAACTTGTAATTCATTTTTTTATTAGTATGCACTCATTGCCTATTTCATTCAATGGGTTATAATCCATTACTATATTTTGATGCTCAAAATATCCCATATTTGAGCGTTAAGCTAGCCTCTGTGTTCTTTGGACCTCATAATTCTTTGAGCATTGCCTTATTTTTTTGGCACAAAAAGATGTTCCAGGCTCATCTGTGATTTTCCTGCCCCAGCCCTGGAATCAGTAATTTTTTTCTGGGGTGCTTGGTTCTAAATGACATTTAGAAACTCAAGGTTCTGGGTATTAGATGTGCTCAGTGCTATCAGGATGTCAATACTCCCAAAAGAGAGCTAGGAAATATGTATTTATACATCCATATACCCATATACACACATATACATGTTTACCTTTAAATATTTTTCTATCCATACATACTAAAATCTCTACCTGCAATCTATTTCCACAAGGTTCATTCTTGCTTTCTCTCTTCATGTTTATAATTTCCTTCTCTATTCAGTGAGAAACCTGATTTGTCATTATTTTCAGTATATTTGACCAGTTCCCCATGCTGCCACCGCCCCACACTCCCAACACCCTCTTCACCTTGCTTGGGCTCTGTCTCCCTGCACCATGTACCAGGCCACCCTCCTGTGTGAATTACTGTGACAAGCTACTATTCTTATCCTTCATACATGGACACCCTTACCCTGTTCAGGCTCTGAATCTTGTGGCAGGCCACTTTTGTCCCTCAATATTGATGCCCTCCTTGCCTTAAATACTTTCTGACATCTGACACCAGCCCTCACTGCTCTCCGCTTCCTTCTACATGGATGCCTTCATACCGCTCAGGCTTTGACACCCCACAATGAGCCATCCTTCTGCATGTATGCCCTCCCTAAGGGTATTTTCCTACCCTTAGTCTTAGCTCTCTCCCCTATAGCATGCCCTCCCCGCCCCCCCCCCCTTAGGCTTTGACCTCCACTTGGCAACCATGTTTACTCACTGCCACATAGACCCCTACCTACCTACCTCAGTCTCACCTTATCAATCTTATAATTTTGACTGGTAAATATAAATTGGTATATTCTTTCAGGAGTTAATAGTACTTGTCAGAATTAAATAGTTGACCCTTGAACAACATGGGGGATTGGTGTGCCAAACCACCATTTACCCTCCCTGCCCTGTACAGTCCAAAATCCTTATATAACTTTTGACTCCCCCAAAACTTAACTACTTAAAGCCAGAAACCTTACCAATAACATTGGTAGCCAGTTGACCAGAAACCTTAATGATAACATAAACAGTTGGTTAACACATATTTTGTAAATTACATGGATTATATACTGTATTCTTACAATAAAGTAAGCCAGAGAAGATGTTACTAAGAAAAGCATAAAGAAGAGAATACATTTATGATACTAAACTATATTTACCAGAAATGAACCACATATAAGTGGATCTGCACAGTTTAAACGTGTGTTGTTCAAGGGTCAACTCTAGGTGCTTATTTTGACCAGGAACTTATCCGGAGAATTTATCCAGGTACACGGGGATGTTTGAAAGGAAGCTCATAACAATAAAAAAAATTAAAAAAAAAAAAAGATGCTCATATTATTTATAATATAAAAAAAGTGTCATCAATAGGGAATTTTTTCATATATGTTGTAAGTGTTCAGATAAATTTAGAGAATGGACTACTAAAATTGGTATTTGATACATTTAACTGATACAGAAAGGTATTTACTGATTTTTGGGGAGAGGGAGGGTTGCAGAGTTGGTTACCAAACAGAACATATACTCTAATCCTTTAGGGGAGTATAATATAGAGATGAAGAATTAGGGCTTTTTTAGGAGGGAGAAGCTTTAGTGAACTCCCTGTTTCCCCAGAATAATGTCAGACTCCTTAGCTTAGACTACATTTACCTATGACCTGACTCCCTCTTTTCTCTGTTCTCAAATCTCCACTGCTCTGCAACATGCCATTTTGGTTCTAGCCAAACAAAATTACGTGTTTAGACACAACATTCCCTCCCATCTGAGTGACAAATTATTTTCAAGACAGTTCCAGTATTTTCAGTATCAGTGAAGTTATCCCCCAAACTCTCTAACCCCCAAGGCAGTTAGCCTCTTTGCTCCTACACCTTTATAATAGCACTTACCCACATTGTATTGGAATTAGCTATTTCTGCATTTTTTTTTCCCCTTAGTAGAATGAACTTGAGAGCATGAATCATGTTTTATTCATTTTACTATCCCTAGCAAGTAACCAAGTATCTGTAGTAAGGTTTTGTATCAATGTTTATTAAATATTGTATTAATAATGTCATATCACAGGTTGTTGTTTTAGATCTTCATTTCCAATTAATTAGATCCCTCCTTATATTTGCATATAATTTGCTTTGCTTTGTTCCTGTTCTCAATAGTCCTAATTTTTTTAAAGATTTTTACCTATTTGAGAGAGAGAGAATGAGTGATGGGAGGGGCAGAGTGAGAGAGAGAAGCAGACTCTCTGCTGAGCAGGAAGCCTGACGTGGGGCTTGATCCCAAGACCCAGAGATCATGACCTGAACCGAAGGCGTATGCTTAACCAACTGAGCCACCAGGCACCCCAGTCCTAATTTTTTTTTTAAGATTTATTTATTTATTTTAGAGAGAGAGCATGCAGGGGAGGGATAGAGGAAGAGGGAGAGGAGCAGACTCCTTGCTGAGTGGGGATCCCGATGCAGGGACTCAATCCCAAGACCCTGAGATCATAACCTGAGTCAAAATCAAGAGTCGGACGCTTAACCGACTGAGCCACCCTGGTGTCCCAGTAGTCTTAATTTTTAATGCCCTGATTTATCTTTGCAGAAAGCCCGCTTATCTACCATTTTATTTGCTGAAAACTGTGAAGTGACCCACGATCAGTTATGTGAATTGCTGAAGTATGCAGTTCTGGGCAAATCCAGTGTTCCTAAACCCAGGTATGAGATGCACTTAAATGGTGGGTATAAACCTGAGGTTTCAAATTAGTGTCTAGAGGGCCATGTATTCCTTAATTAATATTATTTGTTTGCTGTACAGAATGTCCTAAATTTTTCTTTTTCTTTTTTTCTTTTAATGGTGGGGGAGGGGCAGAGGGGGAGGGAGAGAGAGAGAATCCCAAACAGACTCCAAGCCCAGCGTGGAACCCAATGCAGGGCTCAATCTTATGACCCCGAGATCATGACCTGAGCTGAAATCAAGAGTCAGACGCCTAACCAACTGAGCCACCCAGGCACCCCCTACATTTTTTCTTTATAGGAGTTGCCAACATTTAATTTGAGAATTCCTTTATTAAAATCCAGATACTTCATTTTTTTATTTTTATTTTTTCATTTTTTTATTCTTATGTTAATCCCCATACATTACATCATTAGTTTTAGATGAAGTGTTCCATGATTCATTGTTTGTGCACAACACCCAGTGCTCCATGCAGAACGTGCCCTCTTTAATACCCACCACCAGGCTAACCCATCCTCCCACCCCCCTCCCCCTAGAACCCTCAGTTTGTTTTTCAGAGTCCATCGTCTCTCATGGTTCGTCTACCCCTCCGATTTCCCCCGCTTCATTCTTCCCCTCCCGCTACCTTCTTCTTTTTTTTTTTCTTAACATATATTGCATTATTTGTTTCAGAGGTACAGATCTGAGATTCAACAGTCTTGCACAATTCACAGCGCTTACCAGAGCGCATACCCTCCCCAGTGTCTATCACCCAGTCACCCCATCCCTCCCACCCCACCCCACCCCCCACTCCAACAACACTGTTTGTTTCCTGCGTAAAATCCAGATACTTAAGAAAAAAAAAAATCCAGATACTTTATTTCTTCAAAAATTTCTAAGATGTGGCAGTTTTATCCCTGTATTCCCAAATGGCAACAATTTGTCAAAGCTGAGCAGTGGCCTTCCCCTTATAGATGGGGCATGTACACTTTAGTGTACCACCTACTGGTAAATAAGGCCTGCTTCCCTTATTTACATTATCTGTCTGGCTACTTTTTGGTTTGCAACCCTCTTGGGAGCTTCCTGGGTGTAAACTGAAACCTGCCCCACTTACTTGGAGGGCAGGGAGAGACTGAAGAAAGAGGCAGGCTGTTCCAGGTTGGTAAGTGGCAATTTTAATAATAAGCGAAGGGAACTTACATACAAGGCTTGTCTTGGGCAGGAGGAAGACAAATGGATCCCTACATATGCCTGTCAAATCTTAAAAAAGTTTATATAGAGGGTTTAGCTGGGTTCAGTCATATGAACCATGCAGGTGTTTTCAACACCACATCACTGTCTCAAGGCTATGTCCTTGGAGCAGCCTCTGGGATCAGGAAAGACAAGCAGAACCCACATTCAAAGGGCAGAGAAGAAGGGGGTGAGGGGGTGAGGAGCCTTCAGGTGCCAGGGTCCAGGTGACATGTTAGCTGGCAGTCATGTCTTTTCACTGACCTTTCCCAACACCGCTTAAAGGTATTTTGGTTTGTAACCCCTAGTGGAGACCCAATTGAAAATAACATGATCATGTGTTAAGAATCCCAGTTAATCTTTTCTGTTCCTTTTACATTAAGGGACAAAAAGAATTATGCTATTCTGATATCTTCAATGCCATTGTTAAATGTCTAATGAAAATTGCTTTTGTGTATGTACCAATAAAAAATTTTTCAAAACTTTTTAATTTCTCAGACGTATCTATCTAAGGGAGATTTGCTAGATAACTCAAAAGCCATCTTCTGTATTAACAAATATTGCCAGTAGTCCGTCAATTTATCTAAAACTGGCTTTCTTAAAGCCAGTCATGTGATTACTAGCTTAGGAAGGACTCAGCAGCTTGGGATCTTGAGGATATGCCTTTGTAAAATGAGTTTATTTCCAATTTAAAACAAATCGTAATAGGATTTTGGATTTGAATGCATTGTGTTTCCCTTGGTATCCTACTTGATTTGAATGCAATAAACTATTATCTCAAGAGATCTCTATTTGAATTCTGTACAGTAATAGCTCTTTGCCAGGCAGTCATTGAGTAATGGTGAACTCCATTAACTTTTGCTCACTGCTTTTTTTGCACCCTTCCCTTTTGTATGTCTATAACTGACTTGATGGTATCACTTTTAGCTGTGTTGGTTTGATTTTTCAACAGCTGGTGCCAACTTTTCCACCAAAACCACCTGAACAACGTGGTGGTTTTTGTACTGCAGGGAATGAGCCAGCTACACTTTTACAGGTTCTATTTGGAATTTGGATTTCTCCGAAAGTCATTCAGACACGTAAGTTAAGAAAACTTTGTAGCAGGGCTTGAGTTGAGTCCTCTCATCCAAAGACTAGTGCATGTCTCAAACTATGCTCTTTGGCAACCTGATTGAACAAGCAGTAGAGGTTGTAGAAAGCAAGAAAGATTAAGGTTCAGAGATCTCTTGTTGAGATTAGGTTTGCCTCTGATTTTCTTTGATAATTTAGGCAAAATATTTATTACCAGATTACAATCTATACGTAGTCCCCAGGCTGATATATCCTGTTTTATTCGGGTTATGATGTTTTCAGAAATTATACACTTTATGTAAGTCTGTGTTTTTTGGCCTCTTGACTACATGACAAGATTAGACATCCTTAGAACAGTATCTGGAGCTGAATAGCGGCTTTCATCTTTAGAAGAGGCATGTGCTCTCTATTTTCCTCCCCATAGCCACCTCTAGTCTTTATTGGACTGTTTCATCCATTTACTGCTGAGGGATTTGAGTTGGTGAGTCCTATCTCCTTGGGTCTCCGTTTTCTTTTTTGCTTTCATTTATCAAAGGCTACATATATGCTAGGACCTACATCAATCATTCTGCATGCATCATCTTTAATTTTCACAGTAGTTCTGTGAGAGATATAAATATCTTCTGTATGTGAGGAAACTGTAAGTAACTTGTCCAAGTTATAGCTAGTAAGTGTTGGAGCTGGAATTTCGGCAAAGGTGAGCCTAAGTCTGGAGCTTTCAACCTTTCAGCTTTGCTGTATCATCTGTCCTAACTACTTGGCAAGCTGTCCACTAAAGTATAATAGATACAGAAGTGCTTGGAAAATATAAGGGACTTTCCTTTTCTGAGTTATACATTTCTGTAATGTTTGTCTTTGTTTCCAATGTGTAATCAGAACCAAATAAAATATCTGAGCTGGGATAAAGGTGGCTTCACTTACTTAGTCACTTTTATTATTATTATTATTATTACCTAGTCACTTTTACACATTAAGGAAACAGTCCTCATTTTGCAATACAAACAGTTAAGGTCCAGACCTTTCATAGCACTGAGCTGACAATAAAAGTGAAAGTCTTTGACAATATTTTAACTGCTTTCAAGCACTTTTATAAAAACTTGGTATGTATTTTCAGAAATTCCGCTTGCCACCACCATCATCTAATTTCCTAGCTGATATCATTGGATTGCAAAAGAAACAAGTAACGGGGGATCTATCCAAGATGGTGGAAGGTATGGCTGTGACTCTGGTTTGATGATTTGCTCGTTCTAAAAGACATTTTGGATATGCTTATAAGTGGGTTTATCAGTCAAGTTTATTCTTGCAAACAACTAAGGTCAATTCTAACTACCTTAAACAGAAAAGCAGGGTTTTTTTTTAAAGAAAAAATGGATAAGTACCTCGGGAGAATAGAGAGCAGGAACCATAGCCCGTATTCATGCCCCAGAAACCATCTGGTTAGGTGCGATAGCATAGGCTATCCCTGCATATCACTTAACGTTGGACTCTTATAAAAAACTGTGAATAATTTTTAAACTGTCAGTTGGTCTTTGTACCCACGAGTGTACAGATGGGAAGGAAGATCTTGCCTTTGACTAATGGAAAGGACACCCTTAATACTACTCACAGTGGGGAGTAGGCAGGAGGTTAAGATGCTGGCCATCTAAAAGAGAAATATCCATGATGGCAGTTTTTCAAACGATGGGTTGTGTCCGTGAGTAAGTTGTAGTTAACCTTCTGTTTTTGTAGGGGGAAGCAGGTAAGTGATGGAATAGAAAAGAACTTGCTCGATAGAGTTCATTGGACATAGTAAGGTAAGTATTGTTCAGTGATGCTTTTTTGTGTGTGTTCAGAAATAATAGTTACACTGAGGGGATGTGAAAAAGTGGTGAAAAGCCAGTGATTCCTTCCTATCTCCTCTAGGACTGTGCTTCTTATTATCCTGTCTTAAAGACCCCTGACTTCTTTCCACTGTTCCCCTCTCCTTCTACTAGATGCCTGTATCTGACTTGCCTCTGTATTTTATTTGACCTCCACTGTATTTTAAACATTTTTGAGTAAATAACAGAGTAGTCATTACTCGATTCAAAGCTCATGTAAAGACATAGCATTGCAAAAGAAATCATCAGAAAAAAGAAATTTGATGTGGCTGAAGAATATAGATTGTTGGGGATAATTGGAGGAGGATGGGTTAGACTTAGATAGTTGGGGGAGGATGGTAGTGGTGAGAGACGAGGCTGAGAGGTAGATTAAAGCTCTGTCCTGCAGGCTGTAAATGTCATGCTAAGGACTTTGGATTTTATTCTGTAGACTTTGAGGAGTCAGAGGATTATGGCTAGTTCTCTATCCTCTTAAGGATTTCACTTTGTTTCCCATCCTAAATATCAGAGTCCCAAAGCATAGTCTGTAACACTGATCTTCCCTCAATTCAGTCTTTCCTTCAAAATATTTATATATCTCACACTACATCTAAAACTAATGATGTAACGTATGGTGATTAACATAACAAAAAATTTTAAAAAAACCCCACAAAATATTATATATCTCCCCAAGTTGACCTATCGCTCTTCTTTGGTTAACGCCTGTATCTTTATCTCTAGGTCTGATGTCCCAGATTCCAGGCTTGCATTTTCAACTGCCTGCTGAATGTTGCCACTTAGATATTCCCCTGTCCCCTCAATCATAACATAGCTAAAAGCATTTTTCTTATCCTTAAATAACATAACAGGCTCCCATCTTCAAATCGCCTTTTCTCTTGGTACCAATTTTCTCTAAGACAACAGTCTTGAATTTTAGAATTACTTTTCTTTTGGCTCCCTGTACCCAGTCTGCAAAGCTCATTCCCTTTGCTCCTATGAATATCTATTCATATGTCACTTTACCAGAGAGATCTTCCCTGATTATAAAATTTAGGACAGTAACTCTTTTCCTGCCCCAGTACACCCTCTCCTCTTTTCCCTCCTTTACTTTTCTCTGTGGTCCTTATTCCTTACCTGACATATTATATATTTATTTATTGTCCATGTTCCCAACTAGAATTTCAGTTCCATGGAGAATTTTGTTGACTTTGTTCATTGAGGAATCTCTTGTGGCTAGAACAATGCCAGGTATATAAGTACTTAGTAAGTACTTGTTGACTGAATTATTTTATCACTGTGTTCTATCAGTTTTTCTTGTGTACTGTTTCTTTCATATATCCCTTTTCCTCCATCCTTTACAACATCTTGATTCAGACTAATCTTTTTTCTTCTTTGTTGGGTTTTTTTTTTTTTTTGTCCAGAATTTCTGCAAAACTTTTTCTCATTTCTCTCTCTCCATTTTCCACATTATCTTTGAGGTTGATCTTTCTTAAATACTGTTATGCCATTTCCCATCTTAGGAACTTTCTCTTGCTCTCCATTATTTATTGAATAATGGACTAAAGTCCAAACTCTTGAGTCTGGCATTTGCAGTGGCCTACAGTTCATTGTTATACTCCTCAGCCTTGTTTCCTATACTGCTCTCCTACACAGACTTTTTTTTTTTTAAATTCTCAGTTGGTCTAGTCACTACCATAACCAAGTTTGCTTTGTACATTTCTGTCTTACCTGGAATCCCCTCTTTTCTATTTACAGTATTTTGACTTCTTTAGTTGCAAGGACCAGATACTCATTCAGGCCATCCTAAGTGAGAGGGATATTATTAAAAGGATGCATGTAGACTAGAAAGCTATCAGGAGTCTAAGTGCCCTTTCATGGGCAATTCTCTGTATTTCCTAATTTGATTTTGGAAGCAAGCAATCGGATCAGCTTAGCTAATTACCATTGTCCCTTTTGAGCGTGTCTTGGCTAGGAATATCAATTTACTGGTCTACTTATAGATGGGTCTCTTTTTTCCTCAAAGATTTTATTTATTTATTTTAGAGAGAAAGAGAGCATGAGTCGGGGAGGAGCAGAGGTTGAGGGACAAGCAGACTCCATGCTGAGCACAGAGCCCAACACAGGGCTCAATCCCAGGACCCTGAGATCATGACCTGAGGCAAAATAAGAGACACTCAACCGACAGCCACCCAGGCACCCATAGATGAGTCTCTCTTAAGCCAGGTTCCCACTCTCAATCCAATCGGTGACCATTCCTGCTTAAAGAATAGGCTGATGCTTGAGCAAGTGGCTAGGGGTGGAATAGATTTAGCTAGAATGGGCTGTTAGGAGTGGCAGGCACTGTGATGGGCAGGTCTAAGACACCAACTCTCTAAATTCTGCTTTTTCTTAAAGATTCAGCTAATCTTTTCCTCTGTTGAACCGTATCTCACCACCCCAGCCAGTGTATTTTTCTTCCTTTCCCTTTTATGGCTTTTATTTATTTTTTAATTTTTTAATTTTTTTTTTTAAAGATTTTATTTATTTATTTGACAGAGAGAGACACAGCGAGAGAGGGAACACAAGCAGTGGGAGTGGGAGAGGGAGAAGCAGGCTTCCCGTGGAGCAGGGAGCCCGATGCGGGGCTCGATCCCAGGACCCTGGGATCATGACCTGAGCCGAAGGCAGACGCTTAACGACTGAGCCACCTAGGCACCCCTATGGCTTTTATTATTACAACCCATTTGAGACTTATACTCTCTTTATGTTCCTATAACTATATTACAGTACAGGCTCCTTAAAGTTGGGGGTGGGTCTTTTGATCTTCACTGTGCTTACCTGACACAGGTTTAGAAATATGTCCTTTGAGGTTTCTTAAACACACGTTCTTTTTTTTTTTTTAAGATTTTATTTATTTTAAGAGAGAGCTCAAGCTGGATGGCGGGCAGGGGAGTGTGGAGGAGCAGAGGGAGAGGGATAAGTAGGCTCCGTGCTGAGCGCAGAACCTAATGTGGGGCTTGATCCCACCACTCTGAGATAAAGACCTGAGTTGAAATCAAGTCGGACGCTTAACCGACTGAGCCACCCAGGTGTCCCTTCTTTTTTTTTTTTTAAAGATTTTATTTATTTATTTGAGAGAGAGAATGAGATAGAGCATGAGAGGGAGGAGGGTCAGAGGGAGAAGCAGACTCCCTGCTGAGCAGGGAGCCTGATGCGGGACTCGATCCCGGGACTCCAGGATCATGACCTGAGCGGAAGGCAGTCGCTTAACCAACTGAGCCACCCAGGCGCCCCCAGGTGTCCCTTCTTGAACACACATTCTGACGTAAGTTTAATTGTTCCTTTTGTTTCAGGGTCTTTACCTTCTGCCAGTTCAAAAGTCAGCATCAACCTGCAGAATGACCCTATTATTCAAAAATATGGCTCTAAGAAAGTGGGCTTAACCAGATGCCTTCTCACAAAGGAGGAAATGAAAACATTTCACTTTCCATTACAGGGTAGGTTTGTATTTAATCTGATGTTGGTAACAATGTAAGAATATTTAACAGTTTATTTTAAACTATTACTGTTGAAAATTCATTGTTTTGGCTGCTTTCCAAATGACTTAGTCCATCTTATATTAATAAGGAAACACTGTAAGTGTAGATGTGTACTATGATTGGTAAACTGATGATTTCGGATAGTACATAAACATGACCTTAAATATCATTGAAATATTCTGGGAGAAAAGTTATTCCTTTTTCAGTTTTCTTTCATTCCTTCTTACTATATTAAAAGGAAGTCAATATGTCTTTAACACTTCTCTAGTACTTCCAGTCTTCCTCTTACCCCACCATACCCCATCTTCATTTTCTTCAATGAATAGAACAAGTCTGGGCTCAGAGTCTTGGTCAGTTATGTAGCAGGAATTTAACAAAAATGCTTTAATTTAATTTTATTTTCTTTATTACCTTTTAATCATAGCAGTAATGTTAAATTTCTTTTTTAAAAAAACCACTCTATTGAGATATATAATTAATATACCATATAATTCACCCATTTAACAAAATACAATTCAGTAGTTCTTAGTGTATTTACAGTTTTACAACCGTCACCATAATCAGTTTTAGGCTACTTTCACACCACAAAAGAAATGCTGTACTATTATTTTTCACACAACACCCTTACCCCCTAGGCAATCACTAGTTTCTGTCTGTGGATTTACCTATGGAATCAAACAATATCTGGTCTTTTGTAACTGGCTTTTTTCACTTAACAAAGTCTTCAAGGTTCATCCATGTTGTAGCATGTAGCAGTACTTCATTCTTTTTTTAAATTTCTTTTCCTTTTATTTTAAATTTAATTTTAGTAAGATTAAATATAATTTAGTTTTGGGGGAGTCTGGCTGGCTCAGTCAGACGAGCATGAGACTCGTGATCTCAGGTTTCTGAGTTTGAGCCCCACGTTGGGTATAGATATACAAATTTAGTTTGAAAATAATATGTGTGGCACCATCCATATATGAAAACTCGTATCTTTCAGTTAATCCTACTTAATATTTTTTTAAGATTTAACAAGCAATTATTTTTTTTAATGAAGTATAGCAGTTAACACACAGTATTTCATTAGTTTCAGGTTTACAGCATAGTGATCTGACAGCTCTGTGATTATGCTGTGCTTAAAAGTGTAGCTGCCGTCTGTCACCTTCATTTATTTTTATTCAAATGATATTCTTTATATAGATATACAACATTTTCTGCATTCATTAGTTGAAGGACATTTGGGTTGTTTCCACATTTTGGCTATTATGAATAATACTGCTATGAACATTCAGGTACAAATTTTTGTGTGGACATAATGTTTTCATTTGGGGGAAGTATATACCTAGGAGTAGAATTGCTGGGTTACATATGGTAATTGTTAAACCTTTTGAAGAACTTTTTCCGGAGCAGCTGTACCATTTTACATTCCCTCCATATATCATGGATTGCCATGGGGATTAAATGAGTTAAGGTATACAAAAGTGCTTAGCATGTTGGGTGGCACATAGTGCTTTTGAAAAGTTATTTTTTGTTATTATTGCTACTAATCATATGATAAGGGCAGCAAGTATAAAGTCTCCCAGATTTGGGTTTGCCTCTCTTTTCTGGCCTAGACCATATTTTGATTCTTTTCATTGTAATTAGTTGGCAATTTTGAGGTACTATGACACAGAAACTGGTCAAAGTTCCTCAAACTCTACTTTGTTTCTTGTCATACAAGATCTAGGTATTTATACTGTTTAAGCCTCTGTCTGAAGGTAAGAATTTTCAATGGTTCAAACACTTTGGGACCCCTGAGCGGAATATGCCTGGTTATTGACTAAGTAAGGGTACACAATGGAGGGGGTACCTTAAGCCTATAGGTGGGTTCCTGTAGGGAATTTTCAGGCTATGATTCCAGAAAAATGCAGGCATGTTTCTGAACAGAGATCTCAGGGAAGTCTCAAGGGTAGAGTTGGTTACTTTCTGCCTACAGTGAAATCCTTTTAGATCTCTATTGTGATGGAATTTCATTCCTACTTTTTCTTGAGGAAAGAAAGATGCTACATGCAGTTTTTGCATACTTTATTATCCTCCTTTAGTGCCTACGTGAAAAGGTCCAGTGACTTGGGATTTAGCCAGAATTTAGGTGTTTTTTGTTTTGGTTTGGGTTTTTTTTTTGAGAGAAAGAAAGAGCGTGCAAGCACACAAGGGAAGGGAGAGGAGAGAGAGAATCTTAAGCAAGCTCCATATCCAGCGTGGAGCCCAATGTGGGGCTCAGTCTCACAACCCTGAGATCATGACCTGAGCCAAAATCGAGTTGCATGCTTAACCTGACTGAGCCACCCAGAAGCCACAGCTACAATTTAGTTATAATATCTTTTCTTATATGGAGGAAAAATTGTTACTTGGTAACTGCCAAGAAGTCCAGGCTCTACTATCCCCTATAAGAGCAGCCTGTAGTATTCTCCCAGATTATAAAAATGAGCAGATGGAGAAAAACTTGAGGACCGACATTGTCTCTCATATAATTTTTATATTTCAAGTGTCTAACAGAGAAGGTGTCCAGCAAATACAGTATTTCAGTTTTCCCTCAGTGAATGAATCTAAGAGTGATGTTTATCATCTCTAGTTTTAAAGGCAGATATTTTATTTCTTTTCCTCCTAGGTTTTCCTGACTGTGAAAACTTTGTACCTACCAAATGTAATGGTTCTATAACAGACAACAGTCCTCTCTTTGGACTTGACTGTGAAATGGTAAGTACTACTTTTAATGTTTCACCTGGAGGGTTACAAACTAGAGTCTAGTAGAAGATGATTTCTTGAGTCTAATGCACCAGTGAACCAGTGATTTAGTTCCAATATTTTGGTTTAAATAACTGAAAGTAGACCCTTTTACTCACATTTTAGAAAACTTGGATATATGCTCCAGGATGAAGAATAAATATCACATAAGTTTTTTAACTAGTTGTTAAGTTTAACGAAATCTCTGTCATTTACTATAAGTTTACTCCTTCTGTCTTTTGAACAGGGTTTTATTGTTCCCCTAAAGACTTTGACTCAATTGCCATTGGTTTGGCTTAATTTTACACATTTAAGATCAGAAGTAGGATTTCCCTCAAGCTCCCTTTGTGTTTTACTTTGTCTAATTAGTAAGTCTCCTTTCAAAGACCAGGGCATCCCCTATCAATACTCAGGTACCAGTCTCTCATTTCTTAACAGAATGGCTAAGAGCTAAAGTTTTCGAATCTCATATCAGAGTGTGTATCCTGGCCTTGCCTATCAATGGCGTTGTCACTTTGGACAAATTCTGTAACCTCTCATTCTCAGCTTCTCCCTCTGTGAAGTGGGGATAATAATAGAGGTACTTCATCATGTTTAGTATTGCATTAGATGATAATAGAGCATATTAATAAAAAATTACTTTCTAGTGGTACTCGGCTAATACTGGGATGTCATACACAATAAATGGTAAAATGATGAATGATGTTATTTCCATCCATCTTCCTTGAGCACATCCTTTTCAGAGCAATTAGATGAAATGTTCAGCAGTCTGCCTAGCTTTAATTTTATTCATACTGGGCTCTCTAGTTAGCAAAGGTTGTGCCATTGTCACTGGGACCCCAGTAGATTACAGTTGATGGCAATTGAGATACTGTTAATAATGAGAGGAAGCAAGAGCCTCCACAGTTCAGCAGTCTGACTATGGCCTGGTTTTTCAGTGCCTCACATCCAAGGGGAGAGAGCTAACACGCATCTCACTGGTTGCTGAAGGAGGCTGCTGTGTTATGGATGAACTCGTTAAACCTGACAACAAGATTATGGACTACCTTACCAGGTATTTTTCACCTTGCCTTCTGCCATCCCTAGTACTGGCAGACTAGAGTGGAATATGACAACAGGAATACTTTGTAGTTTCTGTTGGTTTAGGTATTATCTACTTTTATGTTATCAAAGACAAGGCTGGGGTAGCACAACTGTAAATTTTAAAACTGAAATTGCACAATGTCACTGTATAAAGCTCTTTAACCCTCTTGCTCTCTAGTCTTCCTGTGACCTTGAGTAAGCAGATCTTCCTTGTCTAAAGTCTCCCAGTTGTAATCATTATGTAGCAACTGCCAAACAGCTGGAGTTTTGCTCTCTGATAAGACTTCATTTGAAAAATCTGCAAATCACCATTTGGCAGTCAAATGATTTACAGCTTAAGCTGCCTTGACCTCAAAAATCAAAACAAAGTTTTTCCGTAACAGAAATTTGAAGCTCAAAAATTTTAGTCTTTTTTTTTTTTTTTTAAAGATTTTATTTATTTGAGAGAGAGAGAATGAGAGAGAGCACATGAGATGGGGGAGGGTCAGAGGGAGAAGCAGACTCCCCGCCGAGCAGGGAGCCCGAGGCGGGACTCGATCCCGGGACTCCAGGATCATGACCTGAGCCGAAGGCAGTCGCTTAACCAACTGAGCCACCCAGGCGCCCTAGTCTTTCTTTTTAATTGTAATTTCAGAATGTACATATTATAGTGATTAGGCAAAGAAAAGCTAGTAAAACATTATTCTTGAAGTTGCATCTATAGATTCTGCTTACCTTAGGCACAGAGAGGCCATGATAGTAATAAAGATTGTCCTATTAGCAGACATAATTAGTATTCTTAGGGAACAGTCATTTGTGGCAAAGATGTATGTACAAGCTTGTTTGTCACAATATTTCAAAAATATGGGAATATAAACATCTGAAAGTAGTAGGGGATTGGTTAAAATATGTGAAATCCATATAATGGAATACTCTAACCATTTAAAAGGATGTGTTGAAATAGATTTATTGATGTGAAAACTTGTTAATGATATATGGCAAATGATAAAATCATGTTATAAAGTAACATGCATTATGATTGCATTTTTATAAAAATAAAATATATACAGGGGCACCTGGGTGGCTCAGTCATTAAGCATCTGCCTTCGGCTCAGGTCATGATCCCAGAGTTCTGGGATCGAGCCCTGCGTCAGGCTTCCTGCTCGGTGGGAGGCCTGCTTCTCCCTCTCCCCACTCCCCCTCCTGTGTTCCCTCTCTCGCTGTCTCTCTGTCAAATAAATAAATAAAATCTTTAAAATAAATAAATAAAAATAATAAAATCTATACATGGGGGCGCCTGAATGGCTCGTTTGGTTAAGCATCCAACTCTTGATTTTGGCTTAGGTCATGATCTCTGGGTCCTGGGATGAGCCTTGCATCAGGGGCTTTGCACTCAGCAGGGAGTCTGCTTGAGGATTCCCTCTCTTTCTCTCTGCTTCTCTCTCTCAAATAAATAAATCGTAAAAAAATATATATATATATGTGAATATATGTATCAAAAAATATGAAAGGATATTTACTAAAATGTAAAAAGTGATCATCCCTGGATCCTGGGATTTTGGGTTAAATTTCCTCTTATCTGTATTTTCAACCTTTTTAAACTGAGCATATATTAATTTTTAAAAATATTCTTTTGAAATGACTTTTCAGGGAGGAAAACCTATTAATATCCTGACCTGTCCATTTCTCTCTTTTTATTGAAAGCTTTTCAGGAATCACAAAGAAGATTCTTAACCCAGTGACAACCAAACTCAAAGATGTACAGAGACATTTAAAAGCACTGCTTCCTCCTGATGCTGTGTTAGTGGGCCATTCCTTAGACTTGGATCTCAGAGCACTGAAAGTGAGTATCTGACTTAGTTTTTCCAGTATATATGCCTTTTCCATTTATTTCAAATCTAAAGTCTTGGGTTCTTTTATTCCCTCAGCCCACTTGTTTTTTCCTTTAGCATAGGATGCTACTCATTCTATTCTCTTTCCTCCTCAGATGATACATCCATATGTTATTGATACATCATTGCTTTATGTCAGAGAGCAGGGCAGAAGATTTAAGCTAAAGTTCTTAGCCAAAGCTATTTTGGGGTAGGTTGTTTGCATATTATAATATTGTCCTGACAAGTTGCATATAAGTTAACATATGATTTCTTATTTAATGCATATTGCAAATTTCAGGGTCTCTGTTCTCCCTCTTAGTCTGTAAACATTATTCTTTTCCCTTATGAATCCTGGGACCCTAACTCCAGAGAAGTATGACTCAGAGATGAAGAAATTATGGGAATACTAAAAGGGGTTTACATTCACATCTGAGGGTTGATGGATAGAACTGGACAGAACCGTCAGAAAAGTTAACCAGAATTTGAAAACAATGTTCTTATACTGAATGTATCTTCTTATGTACAAACACATGTGTATGAAGATGTTCATTATAGTATGGTTTAAAACAGCCAAAAACTGCAAATATTCTGTAGGAGTGGTTAAATAAATTACGTTTATCTATATTATTGAATACTTTGTTACTGTTAAAAGAATGTGATGGATCTGTATGTGCTAATAAGGAACTCTCTTAAAGTACTACTGAGAATAAAATGGAGATGCAGAACAAGATCTATATATGCCTAGATATCAGTATGATGTAGATTAGATCTAGATAAATTTATAGACACAAACATATGTACTTTTTTAAGGTTTTTGAGAAAGACCAAGAAAAAATTTAAGTACCTATAGACACTTGATTGCAAATATAAAATTTCTGGAAGGTGACTTTAAATAGTGGTTACATCTAAAAGAATGAGGCAAGGTGTTGGCTGGGGAGTGGCCAGAGACTTTATTGGGTAGCCTTTTGTCCAGATGATATGCTTGCTGTAGACAAAGGCATTCCTGATCATTATACGTCATCAGTGCCTCTTACTCCAGGTACTCTCCTGGCACTTAGAAATAAAGGAATCTTGATTGTTGTGATAAAATCTGATTATCAGATTGCTAAAATTTTACATGTAACCAGAATATCAGAGGTGGTTCAAAGAACCTATCATTGAAAATGCTGTCGAGTATGTCAGCTTTATCTTGACTTTCCAGGAAGGATATACAGTGTCCAGATAGGCTTGGTCATGATGCCATAGAAGATGCTAGAACCACCCTTGAATTGGCTCGGTATTTCCTTAAGTATGGCCCAAGGAAGGTTAGTATCTTTGACCTATATGTTTGCTTTTCTTAAAATTATGAGACTAGAACAGGTAGTCACAGACCATTTCATGTTGTTAACCTTTCTGTACAAAAGTAGGAGTGTAATTCAAGCTGAGCATTTGGAATTAAGACCTGTATGACTAGCATAATGTAGTAGTTAAGTATGTAGTCTCTGAAGTTGGGCTTATCTGTTTTTAAATAAAGATGGTACAGGGGCACGTGGCTTATTCAGTCAGTGGAGCATGTGACTCTTGATCTCGGGGTTGTGAGTTTGAGCCCCATGTTGGGTGTAGAGATTACTTTAAAATCTTAAAGGAAAAAAGATAGTACTATGTTTAGCTACATAATCTGGGTCAGTTTCTCTAAAGAACTTCAGTTTTACGTCTGTAAAATGGAAACACATTTCTCTGGGATATTGGTGAGGGTAGATGAGATATTTTATATAAAGCTGTTAGTACAGTGCCTTGAATATATTAAGCACTATAATGTGTGGCTCATTGTATGCTGATAATTGTAATAATTATGAAAAGTCTACATAGAATTTTGCTCTTTTGGGGTGAGGGGAGCATGCCATTGTTTCAGCAGCAGTTCGGTGGGTGTAGATTAGAACAGCACATAAGGGAGACGTTGATGGACACTGTTTCTTACAGACATTGTTACAATGCATTCTAACTTATTAGATTGTCCCATTGTATGATATGTTCTATCATGACTCCACTATGAAATAAATTGTAGTCTGTGTAGAATCATAAGCATCCAGAATAGTGTTTTGTGTCACAGTGGTAGAAAGACATTCTAAAATGTCTTATGGGATATATAAATAATGATAATAGTTTGGATCTCACACTCTATGTTGCAACTCCCAAGTGGTCTCCCACTTTATGGAAGAAGAATAAACTGATTTTGTATTAAACCAATAAAAGATCTTTTTTTGATGTTGCTGTAAAAGCCATTTTTTTATAATTTCCAAAAGTTGTATGTTCACAAAGAAGTAAATTTTAAGTGACTGTGGGATCAGTGATGAGCCCAAATTGCCATCACTTTATACTTAGCTTTACTTGGCCCTTTCCCATATTCATGTAACAACATCAGCAGCTGGTAACAGATTGCCATTCTTGGCTAAGCGGTCAGAAACCATCTGGTAGCTATTGAAGCCAACCTGGGACTATGGCAATGGCAAAGCCACTGTCTACAGAAGTAGAGAACACCACTTGAGTGGGCTTTTCTTGGATTTTTTTGCTTTTTGGTGTTTTATTTTACTTTAAAACTCAAATGCTTTGTAGGGAATTAGATGATTTTTACCACTTTATTTTCTTCAAGATTGCAGAACTAAATCTGGAGGCACTAGCTAGTCACCAAGAATTGTTAGCAGCAGGCCAAGAGCTGAGAAATACAGCAGAAATAGTTTATCAGCCAAACACAAGGTAATATTTTTCAGTTCTAAACAAGAACAAAAAGAGAGTGTCTGGTTTCTTATTTACACAACTTGTGAATTTTTTTTTCCTTTTTTGAGTCTGTTGAGAAGTGTTTACCAATAGTATGAGTAACATTCTACCATCACAAAAACCATGGAGGGAAAAATACCCTTACCTTCCACCCTAAATAGTACCTATTTGTTTTTCTTATCTTCTAAATGTAGTGACTGGTCTTAACTCTTTTACCAAAAAGGAAGACATTGAAATATAGTGAACTAAGTAGCATTAGGGGAGATGATAAACTAGTGAGTATTTTGATTAGAAGAGTCACCTATAGCCTTGATGTATTGCCCAGATTAGGGAAGAACAAAAAACAGGCCTGGAAGGAGTTCATCAGCACACCATAATAAATGTGTCAGATCGTTAGAATATAAACTTGTTAGAGAGCTTTGAGTATTTTTCATGTTTATCCTTTCTTCCCCTAAATATAGAGCAATACTGTCCATTATGCCTTTTGCAGTGATGGAATTGTTTTAGATCTGTGCTGTCCAGTAAGGTCCACACAATACAGTACGTGTGACTAATGCGTATTGAGGAACTGAACTGTAATTTTATTTGATACTAATTTTAATTTAAATAGCCACATGTTGCTAGTGGCTACCTTATTTAGACAGTGCAAGTAAGAGAAGTAAGTCTTAGGTTAGGGAAACTGTTGTTCTTCCCTTGATCTCTTCTACTTCTTTACAGTGTTTTAGAATGCTTGGACTTAATGGGTCAGAAGCTCCTTTTCTTGACCCGGGAAGCAGAAACTAGTGAACTTTGTTCTGCCGGAAACTGTCAAACTATTAAGTGCCTTTCAAATAAAGAGGTGAGTGACCTGCTGTCTCTTTGAAGGTTGTGCTCAAAGCAGACGGGAATGTAGCCCTTTGCAATTCATGCTAAGCGTCAAGCTTTTTTTCATCAACAACCCTGGCTATCATTATCAAGTCTGGTTTTTGTCTCACGTTATATGGAGCACTTTTAGTCCCAGTTACCCCACCGGAGCAGAACTGTCAGCTACCAGTGTCTGCTTGCAGACCCCACCTTTGGTATTGCACACAACTTTGAATTTCTGTTCTTTTTCTGGCTTACAGAGATGTTTATCTTAGTTAAATTTTAGCCTGACTTTATTTTTTTGGTTTTCTCTTCTTAAATTTTATCTATTATTGCTGTATGTGAAAGTTGAAGGGATGAATTGCAGCATGAACTTAGGTCATTTTATTCAGAAGATCTCTCTATATATTTTAATTTTATCTGGAAAGAATTTCAAACTTACAGAAAACTTGCATGAATGGTGGTATATACCTTCTATCTATATTCATCTTCGGTTAATGTTCTGCCCTATTTGCTTTATTTGTGTGTGTGCTGGCATGCTTATGCTCCCTTGCTATTTCTATCTTCCTCTTTCTATATGACATTTTATTTTTGAAACCATTTGGTTGTTTCATAGATCATGGCCCTTTTCCTCTAGATACTTCAGTGTATATTTCCTGAGAATAGAAATATTCTCTTACATAACCGTAATAAATGTCAGTAAAGTTAATATTGATACAGTACCTTTCTCTAATTTCATCTGTATTCCAGTTTTCTTAGTTGACCCAGTAATGTCCTTTAGCATTTCTTTTTGCTTCAGAACAGTATCTATACTAGGGTCACATATTGCATTTAGTTGTCCTATCTTTTTAGTTTCCTTTAATCTGGATACATCCCTTGACCTTTCTTTGTCTTTCATGGTAATTTTAAGTAATACATGTTGCATGGCACCCCACCCAGAATGTTCCTCATTATGGGTTTGTTTCCCCATGATTAGACACAGGTTATGCATTCTTTACCAAAATACTTGTAAATCATGTTTCCTTTTCAGTGTATCACATTCAGAGGCACATGTTGTCCATCTGTTCTTTATTTTGTGCTGTTTATTTTGATGACCTTAACAAGATATTGTCTGCTTTCTCCACTGTAGATTTACTACTTTTGTCCCTTCTAATAAGTAATATGAGGAGATAATTTAAGAATACCACCAATCCTGCTTTTCATCAAAAATTCCCCTCTTATATTTAGCAAAAACTGTTGATTCCTACCTGATGGTTGCACAATGATGGTTTCCAACTCTAGCACTTCCTTCCTATTTACTAGTTGTTAGTTCAACAGTCTATAAGCAAGAGTACTGATTTTTTGTGGGAGGCGAGAGATCTGTCAACATGGAATACCTTGTCTGAGGATGCATGCGAGTGTGGAGATTCTTCTTAAGGGATGGAGCTGAGGGGACCACATTCAACAGAGTATGTCAGCGACTTCTATTATCTCCATGCTTTTTTTATTACTGTTTTCATTTTCTCGAAGGAAGCGCTAGAAGCCGCTGGGGAAAGAGCCGGGAGAAAGGGAGAGTTGAAGATACAGAATAACAGAGTGTAAATAAATAATAAAGAATTCCTAGGAAGGTAGAAGAAGTGACATCCTCTGGATTACTGTTTCTTGAACAGGAGAAAGGATACCTCTTCCACTAACCAGAGCTATGTGAACACAGGTTCAGGAGGCCCAGTGAATTACAAGCAGTATAAATATAATAAGGAATCACATTAAAAAAAATTAATAAATTGCATTTAGACATATTGCAGGGAAACTGTATTTATTACCTCCCAAACAAATAGATATATTGGTAGCAAGCCAGAGAAAAGAAAATCACCTTCAAAGAGCAACAAATAGATTAACGGCCAATTTCTCAACAGCAGCAACAGGAATCAGAAGACAGTGAAAGCATTCTTCCAAGTCCCAACGAAGATGACTTTCAACTTACAAAAGTCTACCCAGCAAAACTGTTTCAAAATGAAAGTGGAATAAGTATGTTTTCAGATAAAGAAGAACATTTTATGACCAAAAAACTCTACTAAAAAGTTTTAAAAGGATGCATTTAAGGAAGAAGGAAAGTCTGAGATGCAAGCAGGAAAAATTTCTAGAGAAATTGGTGTGCATGTGCACAAATTTAAATATTGAATGTAAAAATAGCAAAATGAATCAGCTAAAAATAAGGGCCACAAATTACTTTGCTGTTTCCTTCTCTAAGTTTTAAAATTTTGACTCTATAAAAGTTCTATGGATAAAATATACAAAAAAAATAAAAACAGGTATGCTGCTAAAATATATGTATTATTTTTATACAAATACATATTTATATATATTTTTATATAAATAAATATGTAGTTGTATAAAAATAAAGGACAGATGGACAACAAAAGGAAGAGTCCTTCCTTTATTATTCATTCATTCATTCTGTGTGGTCTCATGGATTCCTGTTTAGTTCACTGGTTTATAATTTATGATTGTATTAAATTGTTTTGGTTTTCAAACTTCACAGATTTGGCTAGTGGTAGCCCCTTCAAGTTGGCTCCTTTGTCCTTGTGACATGGACCCATAATTTTTTTGAGCATTTTCCTTTCTAGCACAAGATATGTGCCACCCAGGCGCCCAGACATAAGTACATTCTTGGACGATAGAGAATTTAGGAAATCAGGAATATATCTCAAGAAAATCCCTAATTATTTGGAAAATAAATAGCACACTTCTAAAAAACCATGAGCCAAAGAAGAAATCAAAAGGAAAATTAAGAATTCTGAACTGAATGAATAGGTGGCTCAGTTGTTAAGCATCTGCCTTTGGCTCAGGTCGTGATCCCAGGGTGCTGGGATCAAGCCCCGTGTCGAGCTCCCTGCTAAGCAGGAAGCCTGCTTCTCCCTCTCCCACTACCCCTACTTGTGTTCCCTCTCTTGCTGTGTCTCTCTCTGTCAAATAAATAAATGAAATCTTTGAAAAAAAAAAAAAGAATGTACTATGTCCTTTGAATTACTTGAATCCTTTTAAATTTATTGAGAGATGGAATCTCCAACTATAATTGTGGATTTGTTTGTTCTTGGAGTTTTCGTTAATTTTTGCTTTATGTATAATGAAGCTTTCCTATTAGACACATAAACATTATGCATTATGTTTTCCTGATGAATTGGCCCCTTTATCATTACAAATAGGCCTCCTTTATCCCTGGAAACATTTTCTTTTCTTTTTTTTTTTTTTAAAGACTTCATTCATTTATTTGAGAGAGTGAGAGCGTAAGAGAGAGAAGAAGCCAGGGGGAGAGGCAGAGGGAGAGGGAGAAGCAGACTACCCACTGAGCAGGGAGCCCGATGCAGGGCTTGATCCCAGGACCCCAGGGTCATGACCCGAGTTGAAGGCAGACGCTTAGCTGACTGAGCCACCCAGGCTCCCCTCTATTCTGACTTCTACTTTGGTGTTAATATAGCCCCTCCTGCTTCCTTTTGTTTATTGTTGACCTGGTATATATTTTTTTATTTTACATTTAGTCTATTTATATCTTTATATTTAAAGTGGGTTTCTTGAATAAATAAATAAAAATAAAGTGGGTTTCTTGTAGTGACCAGTTAGGTTTTGCATTTTTATTCAATCCAACAATTGTTGCCTTTTAAGTGGAGTAGTTAGGCTATTTGCATTTAATACGATTATTTGATGTTGTTAGGTTTAAGTCTCTTATCTTGCTATGATTTCTATTTGTCCCATCTCTTTTTTTTTTCTATTTATTTATTTTTTTGAGTTAATGAAGTATTTTTTTATGATCTTATTTTATCTCCTTTGGCAGTGTATTAACTGATTCCTTGTGTTATTTTAGTGGGTGCATTAGGATTTATAGTCTATCTTTAACTTATCATAGTTTACCTTAATTACCATCCTTACCTTAATACCTTAATAATGATATACCACTTCACATATAAGAACCTTACAACCATATATTTGCATTTTCCCCTCCTAGCTTTGGTGCCATTGTTGCCATCATTCATTTTACTTCTACATGTTGTTATTTTGCTTTAGTTTTTGTTGTTGTTTTTTTTAAGATTTATTTAGATTAGGAGGGGAGGGTCAGAGGAAGAGGGAGAGAGTCTTAAGCAGGCTCTGCACTGAGTGCAGAGCCTGATGCAGGGTTCCATCTCAAGACCCTGAGATCATGACCTGAGCCGAAACTAAGAGTCAGACACTCAGCCAACTGCACCACCCAGGTGCAACTAAATAGTTATTTTTTAAAGATATTTTAATTTTTTGAGAAACTACTATAGTATTCACCATGGTAGTTGCAGCATTTTTTATACTCCTACCAAAAGTGCGTAAGAATTTCAGCTTTTCCAAATCTCTGCCAACACTTTTACTTTTCTCCTTTTTTTTTTTTTGATAGTAGCCATCCTAATGGGTGTGAGGTGATACCTCATGGTCATCTGGTAATTAGTGATGTTGAACCTCCTTTTTTTCTTGGGTTTGCTAGCCATTTGTATATAATCTTCTAAGAAATGTTTATTCAAGTCCCATTTTCAAACTGGGTTTTTGTTAAAGTTTTAGGAGTTCTTTATATATTTATATTCTGTATATTCTTTATATATTCTGGATTTTAATTCCCTGTCAGATATATGATTTGCAGACATTTTCTCATTCCATAGGTTGCCTTTTCACTCTGCTGATTGTGTGTTTTGATGAACTGAAAACTTGTCTGTTTTGCTTTTGTTCTCTATGCTTTTGATGTCATACCTAAGAAATCATTGCCAGATCCAATATTATGAAGCTTTTCAAAACTCTATGTTTTCTTCTAGGAGTTTTCTAGTTCTGGATCTTACTTTTAGGTGTTTAATCTATATTGGCTTAATTTTTATATATATGTAAGATAAGGTTCCAACTTCCCTCTTTTCCATGTGGATATCCAGTTTTTCCAGTACCATTTTGTTAAAGAGACTATGCTTTTTCATTGAATGGTCTTGATACTTTTGTCAAAAATCATTTGACCATATACACAAGGGTTTATTTCTGAAATCTGTTCTGTTCCGTGGTCTATATGTCTGTATGCCACTGCCATACTGTTTTGATTAGTGTAACTTTTTTTTTTTTTTTAAAGATTTTATTTATTTATTTGAGAGAGAATGAGAGACAGAGAGCATGAGAGGGAGGAGGGTCAGAGGGAGAAGCAGACTCCCTGCTGAGCAGGGAGCCCGATGCGGGACTCGATCCTGGGACTCCAGGATCATGACCTGAGCCGAAGGCAGTCGCTTAACCAACTGAGCCACTCAGGCACCCTAGTGTAACTTTTTAATATGTTTTGAAATCAGGAAACTTGTGTCCTGCAACTTTGTTCTTCTTTTCAAAATTATTTGAGATTCCGTAAGAATTTTAGGATGATTTTTTTTTTCTATTTCTAAAAAAAAAAAAAACCTGACAGTAGAAGAAAAATGACATTAGAATTTTAAAAGGGATTACATAGAATCTGTAGGTTGCTTTGGGTACTGTTGACATCTTAATGGTATTGTGTTCCTTTCTGTAAACATGGGAATGTTTCTATTTATTATCTCTAATTTCTTTCAGCGGTGTTTTGTAGTTTTTAGCATTATGAGTGTTTCATCTCCTTGGTTAGGTTTATGTCTAAGAATTTTATTCTTTTGTGATGCTTTTGTAAATGAGATTTTCCCCCCCTTACTTTCCTCTTCTGATTGTTCATTTTGGTATATAGAAACACAATTGATTTTTGTGTCTTGATTGTATATCCTTCAACTTTGAAGAAGTCATTTATCTAACGGTGTTTCTGTGCAATCTTCAGGGTTTTCTACATCTCATAGGTGAACAAAGATAATTTTACTTCTTTCTTTCCAGTTTGGATGCTTTTTATTTCTTTTTCTTGCCTAGTTGCTTTGGCTAGGACTCCCAATACTGTGTTGAATAGAGGTGGCAAGAGCAGGCATCATTGTTTCTTGTCTTAGAGAAAAGCCTTTCAGCCCTTCACCTTTGAATATATTAGCTGTGGGCTTTTCATATATGGCCTTTATTCTGTTAGGTAGTTTTCTTCTGTTACTAGTTTGTTGAGTGTTTTTATCATGAAAGAGTGCTGAATCATGTCAGATACTTTTTCTGCATCAATTGAGATGCTGTTGTGGTTTTTGTCCTTCTTTCCATTAAGGTGGGATGATTTTCCTATGTTGGACCATTCTTGCATTCCAGGAGTAAATCCCATTGGTCATGATGTATAATCCTTTTAATGTACTTTTGAATTCAGTTTGCTGATACTTTTTTAAAGTGGTTACTAAATTGGAAGGGCTTACTATTTCTATTTTGTTTTCTGTATATCTTGTAGCTTTTGTCCCTCTTTTCCTCTCTACTGTCCTCCTTAGTGTTTCATTGATTTTTTTGTAGTGACATAATTTTCTCTTTCTTACTTCCTTTTGCGTATTATATTCTATAAATATTTTCCTTTTAGTTATTGCAATTACATAAAACATCTTAAGGTTATACATTCTGTTTTAAGCTGATAACAATTTTATTTCGACTGCATACAGAAACTGAACTTTTATAAGCTCCACCCCCCCACTTTGTTACTGATGTCATAAATTGCACCTTTATATAAAGGTGCAGCATAGGAAATACAGCCAGTGATACTGTAATAGCATTGTATGGTGACAGATGGTAGCTACACTTGTGGTGAGCATAGCACAATGTATAGAGATGTTGAATCACTGTTGTATACCTGAAATTAATGTAACTATGTAATGTATTAATGTATAATGTATTAATGTAACTAATGTAATTAATAGTGTGTCAGCTATACTCAAATTAAAAAATAAAAAAATAAGAAAGAAAAGGTTACCAGTAAATTAGATTTTGAAAGTGAGTAAGTAGATATTCATTGAATAATTACTCAATCACATCTATATAGATTGTATATTCATTAACATAGGAATATAGTTATTCATGTTTTTGTCATTTAAGTTTTGAATAAGAATTAAACTTATACATCAAAATTACCTTCATAGAGGTTACTGTATTGGTTCACATGTTCACCTTTCCTGGAAACTGTTTTCATGTGGCTTCATGTTGTTGTCTAATGTTCTTTCATCTTGAAGGACTCCCTTTAGCATTTCTTGCAGATCAGGTCTAGTTGTAATGAATTTTGTCAGCTTTTTTTTTTTTTTTTTTAATCTGGGAAAATCTTAATTTCTCCATTTTTGAAGCAGAGTTCTGCTGGCTACAGTATTCTTGATTTTTTTTTCCCCTTTTAACACTTTGACTCTATCATGCCACTCCTATGGTCTGCAAGAAGATTTCTGCTGATAAGTCCACTGATAATTTTAAGGAAGTTCCCTTGTATGTAATGAGTTGCGTTTCTCTTGATGTTCTCAAGATTCTCTCCTTGGTTTTGACTTTTGACAGTTTGATTGTAATGTGTCTTTGTGTGGGCTTCTTTAGATTTATTGGATTTATCCTGGTTGGAGTTCTTTAAGCTTCTTGAATTTCCATGTTCATTTCTCTCCTCAGATTTGGGAAGTTTTTAGCCATTATTACTTCAAATAAGCTCTCTGTCCCTTTCTCTCTTCTTCCAGGATCCCATTATATGTGTATTGGTCTTGACGTTGTCCCATCTTAGGATCTATTTATGTTTCTTCATTCCTTTTTCTTTTTACTCTGATCGATGATTTCAAATGATCTGTCTTTATGTTTGCTAATTCTTTCTTCTGCCTGATCAAATCTGATGTTGAACCCCTTTGGTGAATTTTTCAATTCACTTGTGTTTTCCAGCTCCAGAATTTGTTTGGGTCATTTTTTATAGCTGCTCTTTGTTGATATTCTCATTTTGTTCATGCATCATTTTCCTGAGTCCATTAATTAATTGTCTTTGTTCTCTTTTAGTTCATTCTGTGTTTCTTTAGGTTAGATTTCTGGAATGTTATTTTGTTCCTTTGGGCCATTTTTCCCTATTTCTTTGCATGCCTTGTGATCTTTTTTATTGAGACCTAATCATTTGAAAGAAACAACTATCTGTCCCCTCGTTATAACCTGGCATCATGGAACAGAAGACTTTCACTGATTAGCCCAGCTGGAGGTTCCAGGACCTCTCTAACCAATTTGAGGATGTATGTTCTCTGAGCCTGTGTGTGTACTTTTAGATTCCCTAGGGAGCTTGTTTGTTTCTTCTCAGTGCTTATAATCTCTTGCTCCCTTTGACATCTGCCTGTGGAACTGCAGCTCTAATGTGCTATGATGATAGCATTTGTTTTCAGTGGCTTCCAAACAAGGCTGCCTATCCCATTAGTGCTCTAGTCAAGTGAGACAGAAACTAGTCTCTCAGGCAACCCCAGACTAGCCATAATATTGGATGCAGAGTCCCCTCTTCTGTTTCCATCCAGAGGGAGGATCTCAAGTGTAGGAAGGATAGGGGAGGAACATAGGTGGGCACACAAAACTCTGCATATTTTCCTTTCCTTTTGCTGGAATTCTTTGGGTTTTTTTGTTCGTCTTGGTGCTGTTGCTTCTCAGTTGGTCTTTAGAGTTCTTGCAAACTGGTATTCTGGTCTCTTTGTTGTTGTTAACTTGGTGTCTATGGAGGAATGAGGGCCTGAAGCTTCCTAGTCTGTGACCTTGCTGACATCACTCCTTTTCAGGAGTTTCCAAACAATGCTTCCAGTGCCATCAAGTGCTTTGAGTCAAGTTTGAGACAGAAACTAGTTCCTGAGGCAGCTTCAAGACAAGCCAAAATATTGAATACAAGGTCCACTCGTGTTTCTGTCCAAGGGACAATCCCCAGTGTGGGAGGTTTCTTCTGGGTTGCATTGTGTGAGGTTAGATTGGGGGGTGGGGGGTTGTTATTTCCTTCTTTCCCTTCCCTGCAATATCTCTTCCCTATATACTTTATTCTTTTCCAGAGCATTTCTCTGAGGCTGCCAACCCTCTTCCCTATAATCAAGTGCTGTGAAATATGAAAGTTGTGACCTGTGTTTGTTATTTTGGCATTTGGTTGTACTTTTTCTTTCTGGGGGTAATTTTATTTGTACTTCATCTAAGTCTTCCATGCATCTTGATTTCTTTCTAGAGTCTTTTAAACCTCCTCTTCTTGCTGTCTTTATTAACAGACTTTAACAGTATAAGATGGTGGGAGTTCTGTTAGAATCTAACTTACTTCTTAGAGGTAATTTGAAGCTTCTAGTAGTCTCTTTTTCTTAGTAATGCTAAAGGCATAGGTTCTATGTGATTTTACCAGCTCTTTTTACTGTATTCTAGGATCACCATTTTCTTCCAGACCTTAAAGTCAGCCCTATATTGCTTTTTAATATGGGTAAAAGGGCAACCTTGTTTATATTATTATGGCTCACCTCCAGAAGCCACTAGGTTCCTGCCTCATTCAGACTTTGCTGTTCTCTGCAGGTTCTTGAGCAGGCCAGAGTGGAAATCCCCCTGTTTCCCTTCAGCATTGTCCAGTTCTCTTTTGAACCCTTTTCACCCAACCTCACTGAGGAGATGAACAAGAGGGTAAGTAAATGAGTTGTGCTAGAGGATTTATTTAATGAGTTATAATCTCCCTGCATTAATGAAAGTAATGCATATTTTAATAAGTTTGTTCTGTATTTCTTCAGATTTTTTCTATGTGTTTATTAATATTTTAGAAAATACATTTTTATAGAAATGGGCATCAAACTATGTATACTAATTGGCAACTTTTTCATTTAGCAGTGTATTGTGTACATCTTCTGATGTCAGTCATGATCTTATTTCCCTTGTTTTTAATGGCTGTATAGTATTCCCCTGTATTATATACCTATTATTTTCATCATTGGTGCTTTATAAATTTTTGCTATTCCAAATAATGCAGTTGTCAAATCCCTGTATACAAATTTTTGTATATTCAGCAAGTGTTTGTGTTGAGAAATTTCTTAAACCAGAATTATCCCATGTTTTGTCTCATGTTTTCTTTAGATTTGACTTAATTCTCTTACCACATTCACTTTCTCACTGTATTCTATTTTTCTTGTAGATGAGAATCAAGTGGACAGAGATGTCAACTGTTTATGCTGGGCCATTTAGCAAAAATTGCAACCTCAGGGCTCTGAAAAGGCTGTTTAAGAGCTTTGGCCCAATCCGGTCAATGACTCTTGTTCTTGAAACCCATCAGGTAATGAGATGATAAAACTTGGATTTTCACCTCTAGATTAGTGTTGGAAATTCAGATGCCTCCTGGGGCCATTCACATAACAAGTATTAGTGATGTGAGCTTGACTGTCACCAACTGGAGTATGAGTCATGCTGTTTGATGAAACAGTTCTTAACTCACAAGGATATGTACCCAGTATTGCCAGATTCTCTGTTTTGTTTTGAGAATCAGGAAATCTGCCATTTTTAAAAGTGACCTAAGTATGGAATCCTGGATGTTTAAAATGTGCTTTCTCTGAATCTTTTATTAATGTCTTTCTTATATCTAAAAATAGAAATAGATTCCCTGGGAAGATGGACCTAAGGGATGGGAAGTATATGTCCGGGGACTATAACCTCTTGCTATAAGTCTTGGGGTTTTTTTTCTCTTTTTTTGGTAAAATATATGTAAAATTTGTTTTAACTTTTTAAATATACAGTTCTGTGTTACTAAGTATAGTAGTACCCCCTTAGGCATGGTTTCAGTTACTCATAGTTCAGAAGCAGTTGATACTCTTTCTGACGTATCATCCGAAAGTTATCAGTAGCCTAACACTACCTCACAATGCCTGTGTATGTCACTCACCCTACTGCATTTTATCGTCTCACATCATCACAAGAAGGGTAAGTACAGTGGAATACTTTGAGATAGAGACCACATTCACATAACTTTATTACAGTATATTATAATTATTTCATTATTTGTTATTGTTTTAATCTCTTACTGTGCCTAATTTATAAATTAAACCTTATCAAATACAAAAACCTGTAGGAAAAGACATAGTATTTATAGGGTTCAGTACTCTCTGTGGTTTCAGGCATCTGCTGGGGGTCTTGGAATGTATCCAGAAAGTTTTCATCATCCCAAACTGAAACTCTGTACCACTTAAACAATAACTCTTCAGTCCCTGTCCCCTAGGCGTGGTAAGCACTATTGTGCTTTCTGTTTTTATGAATTTGACTACTCTGTTATACACATCCTGTAAGTGAAATCATATAGTACTTGTCCTTTTGTGTCTGGCTTATTTCACTTAGTGGAATGTCTTCAAGGTTCATCCATGCTGTGTCATGTGTCAGAATCTCATTCCTTTTCAAGGACAGGTACAATATTCCATTGTGTGGGGATGTACTACATTTTGTTTATCCATTCATCTGTTGATGAACATTTGGATTGTTTCCATTTTTTGGCTATTCTGAATAATACTGCTGTGAATATAGATGTACAAATATCCATTGGAGTCTCTGTTTTTAATTCTTGTGGGTGTATACCCAAAGTGCAATTGCTGGGTTAAATGATAATTCTGTGTATAATTTCAGAACTGCCATACTGTTTTCCACAGTGGCTATATGGTTTTACACTCCTGTTTCTCTATATTCCAGCTGACACTTGTTTTTTTTCTGTCTCTCATTCTTCCTCTTTCTTCTTTCTTTGTCTTTCTTTAAGTACTAGCCATCCTAATGGATGTGAAGTTTTGATTTGCATCTCCCTAGTGATTAGTGATATTGAGCATCTTTTTATATGCTTATTGATCACTTTGGCCACTTCTTCGGAGAAATACCTATTCAAGTCCTTTGCCTATTTTTAATTGGATTATTTGATTTTTTGTTGTTGAGTTTTAGGAGTTTATGTATTTTAGATATGAAATCTTCGTTTAAGATACATGATTTGCAAATATTTTCTCCCATTCATAGGACTGCTTTTTAACACTGTTGATAGTGTCCTTTGATGCACTTTTTAATTCTGATAAAGTCCAGTTTGTCTTATTTTCTTTTGTTACCTCTGCTTTTGGTGTCACATTCAGGAAATCATTGACAAATCCAGTATCATGAAGCTTTTGTCTCAGAGCACTTTTGTCTCCGTGATGATGCTGTATGTCACATCATCAAGCAGAAAAGCAGTCAGTTTGAAGATGCAGCCTATCCAATGGAAGCACTTAACCTCCCCAAGCTTATAGGAAAGCTGCCTGTGTGAAATTAAGCTCTCAAGACAAATGAGAATCTAAATGACTTGCAGTGATGACTTCAGTGGTTCATAATAAATAATACTGAAAAGCAAGTTGATTAGTAAACATTTATTAGTGCTTTGCCCATACCACCCGGGGCGAAAAGACTTCAGTTTTAATTGACAAATAAAGGTTATTTATTGGCTGAGAAATCAGTTCTTGAACCTTGGTGATTCTACTTAAAGTTGATCTACAGTTGCTATCTAGCCCAGCACAGCAAAGAGAACATTCATTTTGGTGGCTTTGGCCACTAGTTTAGGGCCCTTTCCCAGTCCCTCCTCTAGCAGTTTGAGCCTAGAAAGCAGAGGTAGGAAAATCTTGTTTTTTTTTTTTCTGCAGCCACATCTCTGTATACAATATGAAGTCCTGGAAGCTGCCCAGCTGGCCATAGAATCCTTGGATGGCATTCTGGTAGAAGGTGCCTGCATTAAGGTATAGTGGCCAGAGAAAGCAAAAAGGAGCACCCTTCATTCAGCCCTGACCTAGCACAGCCTGTATTTATAGTGCCCTAGTATATAAAAGCTTAGAGAAAAGCCCTCAAGAGGCCCGAGCACAAGACTTTGTGTTATGGAAAGTCTTCAGCCAAGCCCAGCATTCTTCTAGCAGTGACCTAAAATATGAAAACTTTCATTTTTGTCAGAATCAGCCTGGGCTACATTGGGGTCTTCCTTGTATTCTTCATCACCACTTAGACCCCAGATGGTTTATTCTGGGTGTTTTTCTGTAGCTGCCCTTTCCTTTAGCTTTCAGGGGGATCAAATGGTGTTTTGAAGCATGATCAGTTGAATTGGCGTAGAAGTCAGGGAACTAACTCATTTACATTGCAGGGTGTTTGGGCGGGGAGGAGAGAGTATGTTTACACAAAAACATTTGTATTTATGTATTTATTAAGTCTCTACTATAGTCCTCTGAGGCATTTATCACTAGCCTCCTTATACAGATAAGGAAACTACAGAATTAAGTTACTTGCTAGTATAGAATAGGCCTAAAGGTTGAAGTGGTGGCTTTTTTTTTTTTTAAGATTTATTATTTTGAGAGAGAGAGAGCAGGGAGGAGGGGCAGAGGGAGAGGGGGAGGGAGAGAGTCCCAGGCAGACTCTGCGTTGAGCGTGGAGGAGCCCAGTGCAAGGCTTTGATCTCACAACCCTGAAATCATGACCTGAGCCAAAACCAAGAGTTGGAGGCTTAACCAACTGCGCCACTAAGGCACCTCTAAGTGGTGACTTTCTACCACTAATGCCATCTTCCTTGGTTAGGTGCAGAGGCCTGTGACAGAGCTCACCCTTGATTGTAACACTCTTGTGAATGAGCTAGAACAAGATTCTGAGAACCGAGGTACTATATACCTGTCTGGAGTGAGCGAAACCTTTAAAGAACACCTATTGCAGCAGTCCAACCTCTTCCTTGGCCTGGAAGCTGTCATCTTGCCTAAAGATCTTAAAAGTGGAAAGCAAAAAAGATACTGTTTCCTGAGTAAGTCTATGGTATGGAATGTAACCTTGGGGAAGGAGATTAGGGATGGTGATAACATGAGGTCAGAGAAGGGAAATGTTCACCAGATAAGCCCACCTGGGATGCTGGACCACGTTACCAGCTGCTTCTGTTCTCCCTTGGCCCTGGCTGGCCTCCAACCTGGACGACCAGGCTTTGTGGCCCTTAATAACAGAAGGGGCTATTCTTGCTTTCAGAATTCAAAACTTTTGGCAGTGCCCAAAGGGCCCTCAACATTCTCAAAGGCAAGCACTGGAAGCTGAAAGGCCGGCATGCCCTAACCCCCAGGCATCTCCATGCTTGGCTCAGGGGCTTACCTCCTGAATCAAGAAGGCCCCCAGGGGTTCGTGTCATACCTCCCCCCTCCGAGCAGCAAGCCTTACAGGTAAGTGAGTGAGTGAGTGAGTGAGTGTATCCTAGTGTCAGAGATAGCTGCCTTGGTTTGCTAGCTCTAAGCATTGATTTGCCTTCTGGTGTTTATGGAAGTTAGGAGAGTCCAGCTCAAGTGACACTTAAGCCTTTGAATCTTTTTTTTTTTTTTTTCCTGCCCTGGCACTAGTTTTATTTCACTCTCCAGCTTCTTCCAGCCCTGGACACATTTTTCTTTCTCCAAGATCTCATACTTTTGCCTGCTCCATACCTGCTACAATTAGGCTTTTAATCCTCCAGGTGGCTCTCCAAGGGACCTTGAGGGGCTAACACAGGAGGTTAAAGAGCTGGGCAAGTCTTTAGTAATCTAGCATCCCAAAGTGTACATATACAAGATAATTTTTAGTGGTCATAGATGGACTTTTTTCCCCGCTTTTATGCTAAGGTCTTGTTCTAACGCTTATTATACAACAATCACATTGAGCCCATGACTTCACAGATATATTTCATTGAGGTGAAGGAAGAAACTGACTTGCTTTAAAGAAAACTATTAGAGGGATACACAAGTAGAAGGGTGAAGGTAGAAGATGAATGGCTGAAGTTTGGGAAACCCTGTCCTGGTCTAATCTCCCACACTTAACAGATGAGAAATAGAAGCCAGAGCTGGTTGAGTGATTTGCCCAGATCACAAAGATACTTAATGGCAGGGGCCATTAGTGATGTGGTTCCTCTGCCTCAGGGTCCTGGAAGACCCACTCCATATGGAGAAAAGAGCAACAGTTGTACTCCTAAACTGCCTGTGACCTGGAGATGCTGGGGTTGACAGGGAACCCTGAAGTTTGGGCTTTAGCTTCAGATAGAGGATTTACACAGAACCTTTCCTGGGATCCCATGGTCCTAGAGCCTGAAGAAGAAAGTTGCAGTCCCTCCAAAGGTGAGCAGAGGATACTCTGGCTGAGTGTCAACATGTGGCTTTGATCTTAGGCTCTGAAGGTGGACCACCCAAAGATAGCAGCCTGGCGCTGGGGCCGGAAGATAGGAAAGCTCTACCACAGCCTGGGCCCAGGCACTCTCTGCCTCATCTTGCTGCCAGGAACCAAGAGGTAAGGACTGAAGGGTTGTCCCTTCAGGATTCTGGCCTCTGGGACTTTAGCTATTCTTAGAGAAAGGCCTTTTGTTGACATTCAGGCACATAAATGAGAACTTCTAGAAATCCTCTCTTAATCCTTAGTTTTAAGAGATAGGTATTCTATCTCCACTTTACACATATATGCTCTTCTCTAATTACACTTATTAGCCAGTCAGGGAGATCGCCATCCCAGTTTAAAGCCAGAGGTCTTAGGTCCTGCAGCCTCTGTGGGACAAGAGGCAGCTGCCTAACCCCACTTGAGTAAAAACAGTCAAAGAAGGTCTAGGGGAAGGCCCAGACCAGATATGATCTTTCCCACATTTCAGGAGCATGTTCCTGCCTTTTCCCATTTCCCTCTTTGCTGATTCTAAGCCTGAAGGATAATGGAACAGAACTCTGGGTCCAGTCCCAGCTCTATCACATACCTCCTCTGACAAGTGGCCAAGCCACTTTCCCACTGTGGGTCTCAATTTCCCTTTGGTAAAATGAGAGATTTGGAGTAAATCAGTGATTTTCAAACCCTTTCAACTATAAAACCTTTTCTTTAAAAGAAAAATTGCTGTTAAATTTCTAAAGCATAAAGATAGGCAGTTCTGGAATGAGTGGGTGGTGGATGAGTATATATTGGGGGAGAGGGACGAGAGGGCAGTAGCTCTTTTCAGCACAGTTTGAAAATCACTAGATTGTATTTATTTCTAAAAAGTCCCTTAAAATTTTGACATTCTAGGATTCTTTTCCAGGCCCAGGGTCCCAGACGGCAGAACATGAAGGCCTCAGGCCTTGAAACCTGATCAGAAATTAATTTCTTGTCATAAAATCCTTGTGACATGCATCTCATGGCCACTACGGAGATGGGCTACCTGCTGGGCAGCTTGAGAGAATTGCTGTCTATGAGGAACAGAGACTATTAAGTGTTTACATTTGAAACAAACAAAAAAAAACCCATCTTAGACTGATATACTTTAAACAGGCTTTTGTGGGTAGGTTAACAGCATGAGGTGACCGTAAGTTGCGAAAAAAGCTTTTTGGTTCAGAACAGACGTGCCCTGACATAGCTTCTCAGAAGCCAGTATGTGGAGGGGTGATAGAATAAGGGGCGGGGTCTTCATGTTCCAGGTTAAATCTTAGATTGCAGTTCTTCATTTTGTAGGCAAGCTAAGCTAAGAGTAGGCCCAAGCTTTCTCCTCCCAGAAGTGGCCAGGTTATTCCACAGTGGATGAGGGCCTGAGGAAGGGAGCATTGGGGTCAGGGAACAGAAAGTCTTAGGTTCTGACTAAGGCAAAGGTCCTAAGACACATATGACAAATCATGAAAAAACTCTGGAAATAGCAAATCCTGCAGTAAGGAAATCTAATGTTCCTTTTGTTTTTATTTTAAAGACTGACTTATTTGAGGGAGGGGAGGGGAAGAGGGAGAGAATCTTAAGTGGACTCACTGCTGGGCACAGAGCTGCTCCCCACCCGCTGCGGGGCTCAATCTCAGGACTCTGAGATCATGATGAAATCAAGAGCTAGCTGCTTAACCAACTGAGCCACCCAGGCATCCCCCTCCTTTCTTCTAAAAGTTACATTTTGATGTCTGTAGCCTTGTTGAGCAAACCAGGGAGGAGCACGCATTTACCCAAACTATAGGCTTGCTGTGTGATTAACTTCTCTGGGCCTCATCTTTGCAGCTTTCTCCATGATCGCAATGCCTTGGGAAAGGGTAAAAGTAGCTCAGCAAGGAGTAGCAAAGAGAATAGGTTTCCTCATGCTTTGGAGCCTGACTCAACTCTTAACCCTTATATTTCCAGTAGATGCTAAGATTAATATTGAAAATATTGCTGTATTTGCCATAATTCATCAAACCCTTAAGTGCTTTTATACGTGTTTTCAGTTGAGGTTGTTGAGTCCTCATTTAACAAGTGGAGAAAAAGGCTCAGATTAAAGAGTTTGCCTAAGGTCACATAGCTAGTAAGTGCAGTTAGGATTTGAACCCTGATGATCTGATTCCAGAGCCACTCTCCAGCACTCAATAAGAGTTCCAGTCCCAGTCCCCCATGCCCAAAAGGCTAGTGACAGTTTCTGGGTTTGTCTTTCTCACTTCTGTCTGCTTTGCCTTGGAGAGGTCTTCAGCTGTCTAACCCAAACCCTTGAATATTCACTACAAGGTGGCAGGGAACTAACATGTACCGAATGACGCCTACATTCCAGCCACTGTACCAAGTGTTTTACAACATACATTATTTAAAAGGACTCTTGATGGCAGATTGCCATTATTACCTGGTTCTGTCACTCAACTTGTTGAGCAACTATGAGCTTCTTTTTGAAAAGTGGACATAACAATTGTACCTGCATCAGTACCTATTTTAGGTACATAAGCTGTTTTGAAGGATTAAATGAGAATGTATATATAAGGTACTTAAAATGATGCTTGGTACATGGTGAATGATCTGTATGATGTATGAGGAAAGTATGAGGAAATGATCTGTATATTTTAGCTTTTATTGTCCACAGTCCTCACAAAAGCCCTGTGAGAATAGTAATTTAAGTATTTAATATTTTTATAGTTGAAGAAATTGAGGCTCCGTTTGAGGTCATTCACCCTGGGTTGAGATATGCCTCACATCTGTTAAATAGCAGAGCTGACTTGATTCCAGGCCTCTGGGACTCGTCAGTGTTCCTTCCATGGAACCATTTTCAATAGGCAGCTTTCCATCAGCCTCCTTTACCTGCCTGTGCCCTGCCCCATACACATACCCCCCCAAATTTACCACTTCTTACCTAGGAGTTTGTAACCATTCTTTTAACCCTGTGGATTAGAAACCTATCTTCACTCATTTGTTGCAGCACTCATGGATCATTCTCTGGCCTAGGACTGATGGGAATAAAAGATGAAGAGGAAAGCACCACCCCAAACATGTGTTCGTGAGTCTGACCATCATTTTCCATGTGCTGTTTCTTATCCCTCGTGGGCAGTGGCAGAGAATGTGGTCAGGCTGTAGCCTTTCTATCTAGCAGACAGCTTTTGTGGAAATGGTGTACCACTTAAGAAGTTCGGTCCATTTATATGGCATGTACAAATGTTCAATAAATGCCTAAAATTCAAGCATCCTCATCTTAAGACAGGGTGAGAAGGAAACCAGTTTGTACTTTTTTATGTCACTGGACTTATACACAGGAAATTTGTACTAGGTGCTCATTCCATGTAACACTCCTATTAAATGGTATATGTAGGTAAGGAAACCAGGAGGGAGGGACTTTGCTTTGGAGAAAATCCAGCCATTACGCAGGTTGTCAAAGCTGTATCTATGAAGCAAATTTATGTAAGGCAAACTTTTCTCATTGACAGCTGTTACAAAATTGAAGGAAAAAGATAGGCTGAACTGAAAATTTGGCAGGTCCACACACAGGAGAGTGGAAGACTGTGCTTTTTACCAACACTGGAAGCACCCTTCCAATTCCATTTTTAGGAATGCTTCCTTCCCCCACCCTTCAGTGAGATTGCAGTGTCACCCTTCACCAGTAGGTGCCTCCATCATATCGGATCTCCCCCTTAAAACTGAAAGCTTCAAATTCAGTGAAAGCTACTCCTCTGCTTTTTTATCAACTCTCAAAATATTAACATTCTGTGTTGGAAAGGACATGGGTACAGGTACATACAACTCTGAAACAGAAATATTTATCTGCCCTCTGGAAAAGATGAACTAATCCAGCATACAATATGTATCCTACCAAAACCCTTGTAAATTGCTTCGTACATTAGGATCCAGCAATTCCACTTCTATAGTAGCATACTACAATAATAGTATAGATGTACACAAACATGTATGGAGGAGATACCACAGGGGGCGCCCAATGGAATTCCTGGTAGCCATTTTTAAAAATTATGTGCGTGTAAATAAAATTTCTGGTAAAAAGAGATCTGCAAGAAGTAGCAGTTGACCTCTGGATACAGACGGACTCTGAATCCTAGCTTCCCTACATATTGTGTGAACTTGAGTACACACCTCACGGGATTGGTGTTGAAGATGTGATTATGCATTCCCAGTATATGTTGTAGGAAATATGGAGGCTTACAGAATAGTGTGTATAGTTTGAGTCCTTTTTCTGTAGATAAAGGTACACAAAGATATGCATAGGCTTGGAACAAAACCTGGAAGGCTGTATGTCAAATGTGGTGGGATCAGAAGATTAGGTGTTACCAAATTGCTTTTGGCTGTTTTGGTTTTAAATCACCATATGTTGCTTTTATAACTAGAATACCTAAAATTAATTCTCAAGGTTAGGCATTTGAGGCAGTGTTTACCCGTTTAACTTCTGTAAGAGCCAGCCCTATGTAAAAGTTGGGAACCAGGAGCCAGAGCTGAAGAGCTTGATTTAGGATCAAGACACTGCAACTTGAAGCTCCCTTGTAAAGTGGAAAGTTCCCCAGGCATACATACCGTGAAGGCCCTGAGACTATCTTGAAACTGACAATGTTACTGGATTCTTTGCCCACCCCCAGGTGAGCTGCAAAGCTGTAAGAGTTTAGCTGCTGTTTACTTCTTGAGACTCCAGTCCTGAGACAAAATAAGTGTCTGCCTTTGAATATGGACAGATCTGGCCTGGCACTTGAGCTCTGCTTCTGGGCAAGCCACTTAATCTCATCTGAGTATATTTTCACAGCTTATAAAATGAGAATGATCTTTTTAAGGATTATCGTGAAAATTCAATAATCCAGGTTGTGGAAAAATGACAGAATAGTGGGCTATATATATAAGGACTTTCCCTCTCTGAGCCTGTTAACTCACTTTTAAAATGGGGACATTAGTACCTACTTCATGCGGTTATGAGGATTAAATTAGGGAAAACCCCACATTAAGTGTTCAATAAATGACATTTACTGAGGAGCATCTTCCAAGTGCAGGATCACAGAACAAAGTAGGTTCCATGTGCCAAGAATACTGCCTTTGCTCCTAGGAATAGCCAAGGCCATTTCCTTCTCCTGGATGGGAGGTTTCCCAGTGGGCCCCCAACTCCAGAACTCTACAGAGATGGGCCCAACCATAAGGTCTCTGAGGCCTCAGTCTGCACACTCTGTTCTTTTCAGCTGATGCTCCCACCTTTTGGAAGCCAAAGCTGCCAACTTGGCCTCTTGCAAAACACACATTCCATTCATAAGTGCGTTTGTGCATTTTTCCTCCCACACCCTTCTAGGCAGCCAAGGCAGCTGCTGGAGAAGCAGCTTCTCATTTGGGGGAGAAAGGCAACTCCCAAGGGTTTTTACACAACTCTTGATTTAGGCTTTGAACGTATTACTCCCAATTTTCTGACCTCCTCGCCCACAGTGGAACGGTTTAATACTCAGCCATGTTTGTTTTCATTTCTTTTGCCCCTTTTGTAAATAACCTCTTCCCTATTATAAAGAAAACCAATTAATGGAAACTTGAAAAATCCACAAAACGTAAAATCGCTTCTAATGCCACCACTCAGAGTCAACAACTGCCACTATTTCAGTCTTCTATCATACTTTTTACATCATTCAAAAGCAGATTTAATAGCTGCATAGTATTCAACATGTTGATGTGTGTCATAATTTCTAAAACAGTCCCCTGTTGTTGACACTGAAGTTGTCCCCAACCAATTATATCCTTGCACATATATCTTTGATAAATGATATTTGTTAAGGAAAAATTCCTAGAAGTGAAATTGGGTTAAGGAGTATGAACACCTAAGGTTGTTTTAATTCCACAGAAGTTTTTACTGTGTTAGCTAGCGTGGACTTGGTTCAAATCTTTGCTAATGTGGTAAGTTAAAAAAAACTTTCCATTACATAAACAGATACAATTTCTATTTATTTAAATATCCTGTAGATTGGCATTTATTTTTTTCAGAAGCTTTTTAGCCAGTTTTTCTTTAAGGTCTCCTTATGGATTAAGTACAGTGTCCATCTATTGATTACTGCAAAAATGTTTCTAGTTTTTTATTTTAAGGTAATTTTAGAAGTCTTACGATTTCTTCTATTTGCTCTTATACTTAGAAAGTCTTGATTGATCCCGAGATCAATTTAATAGCCATTGACAAGTAATATATGGGGTTTTTTGGAGGGAGAGGCTTGTTTTTTAAGTAGGCTCCATGCCCAGTGTGGAGCCCAGCACAGGGCTTGAACTCAGAACTATGCAGTCGAGACCTGAGCTGAGATCAAGTCTCACACTTAACCCACTGAGCCACCCAGGCACCCCTATATGGTTTTTTTAAATAATTTAATTTTTATACTTAAGCCTTTATTCCTCCTGGAATTCATTTTGGTATATGGCAACTTTTCCCCAAATATTTAGAATTTTACCCATTTACTTATCTTTACTTACCCAATCAAGGAGAATGTGTCCTTTACTATGTAAGTCCATATACACAAGAGCCTGAGTGTTTTCTTCTGTCTTGTCTTATACTAGGTACCATACCATTTTGTAGCTCTTTATTTTAATATACTAGCAATTTCAGCAGCACCACCCCAGATAAACACAGGGCCATGGAGAGTCCCCATCAGCATGGATTATAAAACGCTATAGTCAGGTGCTTTGCTGTTGACTGCACTGTTGCCATATTCCACTAGGACTTTTTCAGCACCCCTAAGGCAAGAGAATCAAGGTTGGAACATTACAGAGGAAGAATATTAAGCCCAGGGAAGAGCGTTATGGCTTTCATAAGACAGGGCCTCCTGAGAAGTCACAACAAAGGAAAGGAAATGGAGAGGATAGGCTGGCTCCCTTACCTCTCCTTCCCCAAGACTAACCCTTTGGACCTAGTTCACAACCCAGAGCTAAAATGGGATTTCCAGAGCCAGCCCAGTCATGTGCTTTTGGCAACTGGGTTTGAGAAGAGAGAGGATGCCAGTGCTGAGGTGACTCTTCTGTACTTCTCTGAACCCTCAGCACTACCTTCTGTGAGCCTTTTCTGCTAGAAAACATCCATTCTACATGCAGTTAAGCTCATCTCTGGTGTGAAGACGTTGCTTGCCCCTCATCTAATCAAACTGGATTTTAGCCATATATAATCTGTACACCACCACATCAACACTTGGAATAGCTCCAGGCTCTATACAAGCACCCAAATCAGTATCTTTCACTTTCTAATTCTCCAAACCTCTATTTGTTAAGGCCCTGGCTGGGCTCAAGTCAGAAAGGCCCAAGCACAGAAGACACAAGCCCCAAGAGCCAACTGGGTTATAAGTACCTGTTTTGGAGACAGACTTTTTAAGTGAGAAAAAAATGTAACCTCCTCCCACCCCCCACCCCATTTCCTTCCAGCCTTCATCTGATGCTAACCTTGGTAATAAGGGAAGAAGAGAAAAGAAAAAATTCCAGTTCATTGAGGAAAACTTTCAACCTTCTCCCTAGCTAAAAGATGTAGCCATGACTCCCAAGTCCTTTCCAACTGAAAGGAAAAATAAAAGCACATCTAGTCCCACCACTGTACTTACTTATTTTTAGGAGATACCAACATGAGGCTGGAAATCTTTGGGAAGGTCATTAGGGCCTCCATCAAAGAAGTGAGTAAGATGGCTGGCCAATAGCTTTCCTGAATATAAACAATAACAAGACAGAAAATACAATGAAAGGAAGCTAAGGGTCATAACTGGTCTACCATAATCAGACTTCTAGGATGTAAGAGCCAAATAGAGCCATCAGGGATCATGTTAGTCTAAGCCCCCACCCCCACCCCCATTTTGGCACAGAGGGAAGTTAAGCCCCTAGGAGGAACAGTGACCTGAAAGGTCCGGTGTGACCATGCCAACCCCCATCTCTTCCTCTCTGGATTCCTTGCATTACTCACCTGACATCCTTTTGGAAACCTTAAACTTACGTGATTTAGGTGCTTTTTAAAGGCTTTTAAATCCTAACCCTCTGATGGAATTAAGTCTCTTGATTTTACAGATGAGTAAGGAA